AGTGACCTTCCCTCCATGATAAGGTCAGAAGTCGGGACGTTCACCGTGATTGCACAATGTTCACCTCCATTTGCTACTCCTCAGATATTGAAGTAGTCCATATTCAAATGCAACAAGGTCTGGACAATATCCGTGGTTGGGCTGTTAAGTGGCAAGTAACACTCACATCACACAAATGCTAGACAATGATCATCTCCAATAAGAGGTGATCTAGCCACTAGCCTTGACATTCAACGGGTTACCATTACTGAATCCCCCACTTTTAACATCCTTGACCAGAAACTGCACTGGACTCACCACATAAACAGTGGGTATAAGAGCAGGTCAGATTAGGAATACTGTGGCGAGTAATTCACCTCTGGATTCTCCAAAGCTTGTCCACCATCTACAAGGCAGAGGTCAGGAATTCTCCCTACTTGCCTGGATGGGTGCAGCTCCAACAACAGTCAAGAAGCTTGACATCATTCAGGAAAAAGCAGGCCATTTGATTGGCACCACATCCACTTCCTCCACCAGCAATGTTCAGTAGCAGCATTGCGTATTATCTGCAGGTTGCGCTGCAGAAATTCACCAAAGCTGTCCTTAGACAGCTCCTTCCAAACCCATGACCACTTCCACCTAGAAGGACAAGGGCAGCAGATACATGGGAACACTACCACCTGCAAGTTCTCCTCCAAGCCACTCACCATTGTGACTTGGAAATATATTGCCATTCCTTCACTGTAGCCGGGTCAAAATCCTGGAAATCCCTCCTTAATGGCATTGTGGGTCAACCTCCAGCATGTGGATTACACCACTTTCTCAAGAGCAGCTAGGGATGGGCAGTAAATGCTAGCTACCAGTGACTCCCACGAGTGAATACTTTTAAACAAAAGCCCTGAATGAGGAGAGTGAGTAAGTTGACTGATGATGCTTATGGTGATGCCAATTCCTAGCTGAAGTCTAAATAAAAATTAAGATTCTGATGTGCCTACTCAAAGAATTGCACTACACTCAATAAGAAGTGCTGTTATGCAGTGTCTTATATATGTGTCCTGAATAGTGTCAAGCTTCTAGAGTGTTATTGGAGCTGCATTCATCCAGGTGAGTGGGCAGTTTTCTATCACATTTCTGACTTTTGCCTTAGAACATAGAACATAGAACATTACAGCGCAGTACAGGCCCTTCGGCCCTCGATGTTGCGCCGACCTGTGAAACCAATCTGAAGCCCATCTAACCTAAACTATTCCATTATCATCCATATGTTTATCCAATGACCATTTAAATGCCCTTAAAGTGGGCGAGTCTACTATTTTTGCAGGCAGGGCATTCCACGGCCCTTACTACTCTCTGAGTAAAGAACCTACCTCTGACATCTGTCCTATATCTATCACCCCTCAATTTAAAGCTATGTTCCCTCGTGCTAGCCATCACCATCCAAGGAAAAAGGCTCCCACTGTCCACCCTATCTAATCCTCTGATCATCTTGTATGTCTCTATCAAGTCACCTCTTAACCTTCTTCTCTCTAACGAAAACAGCCTCAAGACCCTCAGCCTTTCCTCATAAGACCTTCCCTCCATACCAGGCAACATCCTGGTAAATCTCCTCTGCACCCTTTCCAATGCTTCCACATCCTTCCTATAATGCGGTGACCAGAACTGTACGCAATACTCCAAGTGCGGCCGCACCAGAGTTTTGTACAGCTGCAACGTGACCTCATGGCTCCAAAACTCAATCCCTCTACCAATAAAACCTAACATACTGTACGCCTTCTCAACAACGCTATCAACCTGGGTGGCAACTTTCAGTGATCTATGCACATGGACACCGAGATCTTTCTGCTCATCCACACTACCAAGAATCTTACCATTAGCCCAGTACTCTGTATTCCTGTTACTCCTTCCAAAGTGAATCACCTCACACTTTTCCGCATTAAACTCCATTTGCCACCTCTCAGCCCAGCTCTGCAGCTTATCTATGTCCCTCTGTAACCTGCAACATCCTTCCGCACTATCCACAACTCCACCGACTTTGGTGTCATCCGCAAATTTACTAACCCATCCTTCTACGCCCTCATCCAGGTCATTTATAAAAATGACAAACAGCAGTGGCCCCAAAACAGATCCTTGAGGTACACCACTAGTAACTGAACTCCAGGATGAACATTTCCCATCAACCACCACCCTCTGTCTTCTTACAGCTAGCCAATTTCTGATCCAAACCGCTAAATCGCCCTCAATCCCATGCCGCCGTATTTTCTGCAATAGCCTACCATGGGGAACCTTATCAAACGCTTTACTGAAATCCAAATACACCACATCAACCGCTTTACCCTCATCCACCTGTTTGGTCACCTTCTCAAAGAACTCAATAAGGTTTGTGAGGCATGACCTACCCTTCACAAAACCGTGTTGACTTGTAGATGGTGGACATGCTTAGATGTGTCAGGAGGTGAGTTACTCTCAGAATTCCTAGCCTTTAATCTGCTGTTGGTCCAGTTAAGTTGCTATTATCTGTGTAATCTGCCTTGGAGTGAATTGATAGACCATTGCTTAATGTCTTTTTGAAGCGTTGAAAGTGCCATTCTTATAATCCTAGGTTATGAGCTCAAATGAGCCCAAGATGAGCTTAAATCCTACATTCTCCTCATTTTCTATCTTTGATCCTAGCAATACGTTTGCAGTGTCCGAATGCTGTTACCTTCAGACATGATTATCTAATCTCCAAATCAAGTATAAATCCCAAATTGGACTTCTCAAATATGGTCACCCGCATTTCACTCTGCACCAAGTCCCTCAGATCCAGCCACCTATAACACATTCTGCACCAGGTCTTTGTTTCATTGGCTCATAATATATTACATTTACATTTCTTGTTTTCTTTAAATCTCTACTTCTTGCCACTAATTTCAGCCTCACATACTCTCCCATACCTTTGTCTAACCTTTTGTATCGTTTTCCAAACTTGACCTCCAGCACCACTTATGCTGTGATTTGCAGAAATGTTTTCCCATCTGTCTGCCGTTTGTAAAACCATTCAATCTATGCTTTGAAAAATCTAATATTTGGTCTAGTTTTCAATGCTGCCTCTTAATCTATCTGTTTCCATTTGTGAAACAATATCACGTAAAACATTGTGTCAGTGTTAAATGTTGATTGGATTTTTGAAGATATTTGTGAGCTTGTGTGTTAAAGATAAATGTTTTTTGTGAAAATAGTATTGATTAGATTACTTAAAGATCCTTGACAAAAGCATCAGGGGAACTGATGGCTTGCATAAATCAAACTCATTTTTGCTATCTGCCAACCAACAAATTAAAGTTATACGTAGCAGAAAGGATTCACATCCATTTGAAGATTTGTCTAAGTTAATGGCACTTTTTTTACGTAGTTTATAAAACCTTACAATCATGATGCCGTTTACCTGGGAATGAAGGATGTTTTGAAGGACAAAATTATAGTGGGTGAATTGATGTGATTGTTTATTTGCTGTTTTCAAACACTCCAAATGGCAATGTCAAAAAGTATGAACTGACGCAATATGGGAGTCTGTTTACCATAGTTCTTCAAACACCTCCAGAAAGTGTATTGAACTTTGCACGGTTTAAGGCTGATCATAAATATATTCATTGAAAGTTGGAAAATCCATCCCTCTTCATTAATCTCCAAGGTATCTGAAGCTCAGATATTAAAGGAGAGGTTACTTATTTAGTGCCTTATATAAAAAATATGTAATTTTAAATTGTCGAGAAACGGCAATGGATCTGTGAACATGGTGAAAGGGAACACTGTTGTCAATCTTTGGCTCTGCCAACATTTTAAGGTTTGTGGAGTTGCTAAGTGTGCATCCTTATGAGGAAAGAAGGCAATCTGTCAAACAAATAGAATGTCTACATGAATATTTGCTCAATATCTTGATTTGGAGACCTTAAATATGGCAATAGACTTCAGTGCACGTCTGACATCTGAACCACAGGGATTTGGGGGAACTGGATGAGAGAATCGGATCGAAAGCGTAAGGTCACATTCTGACAAATGTATGACTATTCAAGTTGAAACCAGTCCTGAAATGATGTTGCAACAGGTTTTTTCTGAGAAAGTCTTTGAGCTAACAAATTGTGTTGAATGCTAGAGAGTGACTGAAGATATAATTGCTTTTACTTGCTCTGTAAGAAATAACATAGTATGCCACCAAATAATTGTGCAATACTTGTTCCAGTTCTTAGGCCAAGACATCTGGTTGCATCATTAATTGAGACTTTGGAACTCCTTTGCAGAAGGTGAAGGGGCATTGACCTCTCTGGTGAAATTATTACCAGATTAATAATAGGGCTTCAAGGGGTCAAATTATAATTCAGTTTGTAAAAAAAAAAGCTTTGTATTGCTGTGAGTTTAGAAGGTTGAGGTATGATTTCACCAAGATCTAGTAAATGCTTAAAAATTTCATTGGATATATACCACTTTATCTGTTCATTAAATTCAAAACAAGTGGACTTGATTCTAAAATTAAAGAGAGGCTATTTATGAATGAAATCAGGAAACAAATTTTCTCTAAAAGAGCAGTAGAAATCCAGAAACCCCTGACTGAAAATACTGTGAATTTAATAGAAATTTCCATGACTGAGATGGGTATAGTTTTGCTGGATAAGGTTATCCAGGAATATAAACTAGAGCAGGTAAAAGGGAATTGAAAAAAAAATTAACCTTGATCTTATTGATTTGGCTGAATAATGGCTGTAGACTGAATGGTCAACCCCGGGAAATAAATTGATACTTTGTATTTTGAACTGAATGCTCTTCAAAAGTGGTGACGCATACTAAATGAGTCAAATTGTCTCCCTGTACAGTATTATTCCATGATTCTTGAATTGACATTTCATCAATTTCTTTTTAAAATAGCATAAAAATTGTAATCATTTAATGAATTTTTATTTTGAATCTCCAAGTTAGTTAATTGGGACTAAATTAAATGGAAAAAGAGTTTTGTACTTGCTGATTATTTGAACTTTGAAATTTTCCAGAGAAACGTGGTAGGACATTCTACTCCAAGATTCAAAAATGGTTCTTCGAGAAGTTTTCAGAGTACATTGAAGATTTTCAATTCCAAAAACCAGAAAATCCTGTCGAAACTGAAGAACCACTTAGTGCTAAACGGTAGGAAAACAATCTTTGATAGATCAATATGCATTCAAAGACAAATTGTATCAAGTCTAAATCCAGTGGTACAGTATAGTCATCTTCAGTTATCTCTACTACAGTATTTTAACTTGATTTCCTGGTCACTTTTTATTTCACTATGGTCCTGAATACTTTGGTAGAGCTGAAGATGTTCTGTGACGTATTGTAAATCCTTAGTTCCATCAGTATTGGTTTTTACCGACAGTTTTCAGTTTGGATTCCTTACAGATATTGATAGATGCTTACATATCCCTGTTACATTGAGTTAGGAGGGGTAAACTGATTTCTTGGCTTACCCTCTTAGACTGTATGTAGCTCAGTATCAAAAACAAGTCAGCCAAGATCCTTAAGTAACAAATAAAGGGCTAGTTTATTGCAAACCATATTTATTTAAGTGAAGGTGCAAAGACAATGTATAAAACAGGTCCAACTGTGCAAATATATATAATTAACTTGCTTGAAAACCAGGGCACACACCCCTTCCAAACTTGGGAGAAAACATAAAAATTCTGCTGAGTGTTATCTTAAAAAGTACTTTGACCTGTAACAGTTAAATTCGGGGAAAAAAAGATCATTCACAGACTGCCCAAATGTTGGTCTGTAACTGAAGTCGCTAGAACACACAAGCCGTTGGTGCTGGGGTTTCTTCCTGGCTCTATAATGTCTGGCTAAATTCTTTTGATTTGGAGACAGTGGTTATAAATTCTAGATCCTCCTTTAAGAATGCTTGCATTGTAGCAATGAAGATGCCTCGTACAGGAACCCTGTACTTGTGGTGATGACATATTCCAGTGGGTTTACAACTCTTAATCTTTGAGTGGGGTTTCAGAAAAAAAATGTTAAAGATAGCGGGAGAGCAAAGACTGTTGCTGCAGGCACTTCATCGTTCGGACTGTCTGTTCCAATCTAATAGCTTTATTATACCCACAAAATAGGTCATGTGATCTCTGAAAGTATTGTACACTCTGACTCCAGTGGAGCAGCTTGCATTCTTTGCAAAAGCAACAATTTTTCCTGCCACAGCTAGTCTACTTTGCTTTCCGAAGTCTTCTTTTAAAAAAAACCTAAGATATGAATAAATGCCCAGTCAACGATGGCCTACATTAATGTTTCATAATATTGTGTATAGATTACAGAATACCAATTTTAAATACCAAAATGAAAACCTTGCTCTCATTTGGCATATATTTTAAGTTGTTGAGGGATATCTTTTTGGTTGCTGCTTCTTACAATATTTTGTAATTTCCATCAGTAAGAGGAGCTGTAAGTGGTGAGAGGTTGTTTCTCCATGCATGAAATACTCTCAGAATGTATCTGTTTTGTGAAACAGTGGCTACATAAATTAAACATCTAAGAACTATTTTAATAATTAACGTCTGTCGTTCTCTAAAGTCTTTGTTGAAGGGAATTAAACTGTAGCAAAAGGTTCAGATTTTTGCTGACTTTGAAAAAGCAATTAGTGGTGTAAACAAGTTATTTTAGTCAATATCCTTCTCTCTTTCCTAGAGGATTTAATTTTGAATATAAAACCAAGTATGCTACTTGTGAATAGGGCAAATACTTTGACATTTTGAAGTGTTTTGAACAGTTGCTTTCCAGGAACTGAAAACATGAGTGACATAAAAGTTTTAACATCTGGGTTAGTATTTGAAGACCTATTTACAGTTACTGTTGTATCTTCATGTTTAAGATGAATGATTATGACTTCAAATTAGTATCTCTTCAATTTATATTTCTTTAGGTTAACCGAAAATATGAGAAGATTAAGTAAGTGAATTTCATTTGCACATGCTTATTATGTTATCAGGAGAGAATGCGTTTCTATTTTTGCTATGTGTGAAAAGGGAATGGGATTATTTGAATCTTGATTGAAAACTACATTTTTCACCTTGTACTTTTTTTTTGAAGAGCGTTATAATCATGCATATTTAGAAATGAATTTTATTAAAAGGTAATTGTGTTTTGACACCAATATTAACACTTGAAATAAATTGCTAACCTACATATTGGAATATGAATGTCTAGTTGTTTTGGGAGTTCTTGAATGTAATTGAATATGTATCTTAGAGTGCTTATCCTAAAATATTCCACCACTTTGATCTCTGTTTGGAACAGCCTGATACCATTCTCTGCACAAGTCTGAATTATTGTCAGGGTTGGGTAAGAAGAGAGCGTTATTGCAGTTTGACTGCACTTTAGAAATCTTTTGTTCACATTTTGAACAAAAATGCGACAAAATGTAATTCTAGAATGTTCTGTTGTGATGAAGGCTGGCTCTCAAACTGGAAAAAATAAGAGCACACATTGTTGTGGATTGAACGACCAGATTACTGTGGTGCAATTCCAGCCAGTAAAAGCTCTGGAATACATTAAATTAATGATATTAAATGCTTAACAATACAGTTTTTCAGTAGGTAAATTTATTAGATTTCTTAAAATTAATATTTTGGGTTTAACCGTAACAACTCAAGATTCAGATCAGAATATTTTACAATTAATTTTTGTCCATGATTTTGGGGGGTGGAGAATGTATATGATTTATAAATGACTACAGAATCACTTTTTTCATTTACTTTTAGAACGTGGTGCCAAACCAGTAACCAGCTTCTTAAAGAACCTGTCAGCCTTATCAAATTGGCACTCTGTATACACTTCAGTAATTGCCTTTATTGTAAGTAGTCATTGGTATCATGTTAAGTATGATATTGTACATTCACACTGAGATATATTTGAGTAGAATTGCATGGGGATCCTTGATGTACAGAATTACCTCTGAAATCCCTGGAGGAACCTGTCTATACCATTTCTTGGTGATTTTCACAGAAGCAGCGAGAGATTGGAGAATTATGGAAATTTCACATGACTGTTGGTGTCTGTTGCCATTATCTAATGCTGCTGTCATTTCATGTTTATTGTTTATTGAAGCTATTTTTGTTGAATATCCTCAATTACTGACATCTGAGGATCTTGAGAACAAAAGTAGGCCATTCAACTGTGAGCTTATTCTGCCATTCAGTGAGATCATAGCTGACCAGGTATGATCTCCATCAACCTGACAGTTCTGTATCCCATGATACCCTTGGATAACAAAAGCCTGTATTAGTCTGAGGTTTAAAATTATTAATTAAGCAATTATCCACTGCCTTTTGAGAATTTCACACTTCTACCACTTTGAAGAAGTGTTCCCTAACTTTACCCTGAATGGCCTGCCACAAGGTTTATATAGTTTAGTTTTAGACTTCCCTTAGCAACATAAGAAGTCTAATTATTCTGTAAATTTCATTCAAAATCCTGAAAACCTCAATCAGATTCCCTGAAATTTCTGTATTCTATTATATAAACAAGGCTTTCATTTCTTCCAAAGCCTGCTGTATGTCTAGAACTGTGTATACTTCTCCAGATATGATCTAATTGGCGTGCTATATAGTTAAGTAGAAAAGAATCTGTCTTTTTCTAACCAATGGAATATTTCCAAAGCTTAACCATTAGCCTTTCTATTTATTTTTGAATGTACATAATCTCTACATTTTAGTGCATGGATCTTTCGATCTCTTTGGAACGACACTGTACCTAGCTTTTCTTGATTGAAAAAAATGCTTGCATCTATTTTCTCATTCAAAATTCAGAGTTTCACCTATTCATGTAAGCCGACAGTATCTCAACAATCTTATGTTCCCTTCCACAATACATACTATGCCACCTGTATCTCTGCCATTGGCAAGATTGCATATATGCCTCGATTATGTTTCTAAGTCAAGAATAAAAATAGCAAATCATTGAAGCTCCAGCCCAAATCCTTGTGGGAAATCAATTGTCATTGCCCTCCAATTCAAATACATATCCATTATCTTACTAATCAGGCCAGTAATCATCCATTACTTCAGTGAACTTTAATATTAGCTAACTGTCCGTAATGTGGAGCCTTAGTAGATGCCTTCTGAATATCTTTAAAGACTAGATCTACAGTATTCCTCTGTTTACTGAAAAATTCAGTTATACTATGATTATTTGAAATTACCTAACATTTATAAATCCATCTTGGTTCTATAATAAATCATGTTTCTCTTGAATGCTCAGCCACTTCCTCATGTCTGACGTTAGATCAATGTGTTTGTAGTGGGTTTCTCCCATATATCCCATTAAATAATGGAGGTACACTTGTAATTTACCATTTGTAAAGAGACAACTCCTTTGAAAGAAAGAGCTTATGGTTAAAGTATCGACAATTTCCTCACCCAACTCCTTTATCACTCTTTTTGGTGCCTTTTCTTTTTCTAATACTGCTTTCCAGCTTTAATTTTAGGAAATCCTAGCTGAGTTATACACTTATTGGCTATTTTGAAGTGGTAAATAGAGCAAAATGAATTGTGTAGTGGCTACTGCTTCAAATCCACAGTAGAAGATGGTGCCTGAGTTGTTATTACCCCGAAAGAATGCTAGCATTCTTTCAGAAGCACCAGTGTCCAGTCTGTGTTGATGAGAAGTGGCAGTTGTAGCTAAGTCCATCAACCCATTTGTACTCTACACTTAATTACTGCTGTCACTATCTTAATAGTGTCAAGAGCTGCAGGGATGTATCCTTAATATAAATGCTAGGGGTAAGAGCAGCACGATGGCTTAGTGGTTAGCATTACTGTCTCACCAGGGACCCAGGTTTGATTCCTCTTTTGAGCGACTGTGTGCAGGTTTTCTCCGGGCGCCTCGGTTTCCTCCCACAGTCCAAAAATGTCCAGGTTAGGTGGATTGGACGTGCTAAATTGCCTGTAGTTTCCAGTGATGTGCAGGTTAGGTGAATTAGCCATAGGAAATGCAGGGTTACAGGTTTAGGGTATGGGGTGGGTCTGGGTGGAATGCTCATCGGGGTGTTGGTGTGGACTCGATGGACCAAATTGCCTCCTTCCATACTGTCTGGATTCTGAGGCCTTTTAGTATACTGCTGCTGGAGGTTCATGTTAGCTTGCTGCGTATTGATTTTCTTTTTTAAAGCGGGTTTGGAGTTCTCCCAGGACTTTAATGGACTCATGGTTTCCCCATTGGGAATTCCTTTATTATGATTTGCAGAGTGGGAGGATTGGGATACAAAAGGGACAAAATTGGAAACTGTTCATGTGAAGTCTCACCATAGAAAGTAACATTTTCTACTCTGCAGTCTTTGGGGTTTACAGACTGAAGAAGTCAATTTGAGACTTTTCCAATCATCAGTGTTTCAGATGGATACATTGTATACTTAAGCTTTTTGGGACATAAGTAAACTCCTGTCTGAAAACCTGAAGCACCCATCTGCCAAGAGATTAACATTTTCTGTATGTCTTGAATTCCTTTGCAACTGAATCACTGTCTTGAATTCCTGTATGTCTTCTGGGCCCTGACAGCAAAAAGACACTGCCAGCTTATGGGAGGCCCAATCTCTTCCCAGACTTCAACTGTTGGCTGGCCCTGCACTTTGTCCCTTATGGGCAAATTACCTCAGATGCCACAATGATGACCGTAGCTCACTGGCTGTTTGTAGGTGAGGATTCCAATCTGGTCTGACTACATAGTGGTTAATAATGAGTGAGAAGCAAGACTCCTTCAATAAATGGCACTATTAAAGTATGGATAGGCATTGATATTGCTGGAGATCTGCCTTTTTTTAATTTATTTTTTAATTTATAAATTTGCCAAATTAATGTTGCAACCTTTAAAATGAACCCTCATCACTTACGTTTGTTGAGACTTGAATTTATTAAATTGTCACTCATGAATGTGGTATTTTTGGTGAGTGCTTTTAAAATAAATATTTGTGAGCTGTGTTGCAAATATTAACTCAATTCATGAATGCGGAGTGTTTTGCTAATGTGGGAAGGGAGAGGGCAGCTTTGTGTTCTGCATGGATTGTAACATTCTCTTGTCTTTCAGATCTACATGAATGCTGTTTGGCATGGCTGGGCCATTCCAATGTTCTTATTTCTAGCCATTTTGAGGTTGTCTCTAAATTATCTCATAGCAAGGTATTAACATTTATGTTTCCCACTGCTGTCTAAAATTTACAAAATCTAATGACACTTTAATACTTTTTTTATAATGGGAAAGTTTAAGTTAAGCCTCAGAACCATCAACTCTGTGGCATAGAGTTAGCAACTGGTATGCTTAATAAAATGTTTTGTCAGACTCCTACACGTGAAGATAGTATAGCGTACACCTACAATATCTGTTATACTTGTTTTGCATCTACAAGTTGAAGGTTTCTGAACAATTTTTTTTAAATCATTAAAGTCTCTTGCTACTTTGTTAGAACTTCAGTTTAGTTACAGGTGGTACATTATATGACTTTCTTGGTTAAAATGAATATTAGTGGGAATGTCCGAGTAAGGTAGTGGTTAAGAGGTGGGTGGGGTGGTGTTTAATTCTAGAAAATGGACAAATAAGGGGGCTAAGACTGAATCTTTACTTCAATTCACCCACTAATGCAGACAGGGTAGGGGATGAGTGACCAATGCTTTGCCAGCGGGAAATTGACACTTATAAAGTGTCATAATGATGTAGTACACCTCATTTTTATTAAACCTTTTGAAGTTGAACTCTGCTCATTTAGGTTTTGCTGGGCTTGGTAAATCACTATGCTGAAATGAGGCTGGAGACTGCTTGGTCAAGAGCCAAGCACTTTTCCACTTACCTGCTGAATCCATTATGCCTTTGTGAGCAAGTGTATGTAGTTGTGCCTGTCAGGCATCCAGATCTAGACATTCCCACCACATCCAGCTCTGTCTGCATGATACAGGCACTGTCTGGTCCTGTGGTCATCTCAGGTCTTCTCCCTATCTGATTGAAAGCTGATGTTACGTAGATCCAAACCATATGGTGAAGCAGGAACCTAGCTATAGATAGTTCTGTTAAAATAAACTTTATTTGGCTTAAATGAGGTCTGTCAGTTACACCCATTGCCCAGTTCTGCTTTCTGCTATTAGTGTGTGTGATATACATGCGCAGATATTTTCTAATCACTTGTTCAGATTCTTTTCAATCAACCTGTTCAGAAGTGTTATGCCACAGGTGGAACTTGAACCTGGACGTTCTGACCTAGAGATAGGGACACTACCACTTTACCACAAGATTCCTTAGATTCACACAGATATTTTTTTCTAAAAATCTGATCAGACATGTCTCTGGACCTGACCTCAGGCCTTCTGGCCCACCACCACTGCACTACAAGAGTACCTCATATAAACACACAGATCTTTAGTTTTATTTTAAATTAACCTGTTAAGAGATTTTCTGATGCACCTCTGCAGCAGACAGAACTTGAACCCAGGTGGCCTGATCCAGAAGTGGGGACATTACCATTGCTCCGTGAGAGGCTAATCCCATACAATAGAGAGAGACTTCTAATCAATCTGTTCAGAGATGTTATTACACACCTCTGGAGCAGATGGCCCTTGAATTGTGGCTTCCTGGCTCATAGAAAGGTACACTACACTGTGCCACAAGAGCCGCCACCTAGAATTAATTATTTAACACTGATCATCTGTTTATCCTTTAACCACTTGTCATAAACTAACAAAAAGTCACATATAAAATACTAAAAATGTTTGTATAAAGGAAGAATCAGTAAAAGTAAACAGGTCCCTTCAGGGACTGATAGGATAAATTATAATGGAGGATAAGGCAATGGCAGAAGCAATAAACATCTACTGTGAATCTGTCTTCATGGTAGAAAACACCAAAACATTCCAGAAATAGCGAGGAAACAAGATTCTCGTGGAAGTGAAGAAATTAGAGAAATTATTCAGTTTATCAAGTAATATTTACCTAAATATATTGTAAAATAATAAAACATAAAATGCCAATAAATCCCATGAACCAAATCATTTGTATTCTAGAATTTTAAAAAGGTGGTTGCAGCGATAGTGAGCGTATTGGTTTTGATTTCTTGGAATTCTGTAGATTTGGAAACAACATTTCCAGTTTGGAAGGCAGTAAATGTAACTCCACAATTCAAGTCAGAAGAAAGATGGGAGGTTGGGGATTTAACATAGCACTTAGAAAATCATGATGTGATTAGGCAGAGTAAACATGAATTTATGGATAAAAAATTGTGTTTGACAACTGTTGGAATTTTTTGAGATTGTAACTAAAAGGGAACCAGTGGATGCAATGTTTATGGATTTTCAAAATGCATTCAATGAGATGCAACGGTAGTTTCTTTTAAAAAAAAAGATTCCTGGGATTGTAATCAAGTATTATTAGCTTGGATTGATTGGTTAGCAAGAAAACAGAAGGAATAAATGTGACGTTTTAGGCTGGCAAGCTGTAACTAATGCAATTCCGTAAGGATCCATACTTGGACTTCACCTGCTTGCAGTCCAAATCAATGACTTAGGTGACAGACAAAAGTTGCCAACAATATGAAGCTCGGTGAGGGAAAGTAAGTGGTGAGGTGTACACAAAAAGGCAACCGAGTGCTATGGAAAGATAAAAGAGTGGACAGAAATATGGCAGTTGGAATACAATTTGGGAAAGTGTGAATCCACTTTGTAGTCAAAAATAAAAGAAGCGGAGAGCTAAATTTTCCAGTTTTGAATAAGCAGCAGCCAAGGTGTTGCACTTAAATGTAGATAAGACAGAGAGTAAGATACATTCATCTGACTCACAGCAATTTGCCTTGTTCATTATACATCTGGGGTCTGTGGCAGTCTTCTTGTGAAATCATGCAGTAAGCGAGGCAGAAGTGCTTTTTGTTGCTGGAACTTTCCACGTCCATGCACCTGGCACAGTTTAAAGCTCAACTCTGTTCTTCGTTGAATGCTGCTAGCCCAGAGTGCCCTTCATACTACCGTACTATGCTCTTATGACTGAGGATAACGCCTAGAAAAGCAAGTAAGGAAGTTCCCCACTTTGCTGACAGGGACTTGGAGATCCTTGTGGATGGGTGTGGAGAGAAGGGCATTGCAGACTGCCAAAAACATAACCAGATACAGCCAGCTCAGATCATGTTAACAGCTTGAGTCAGTGTTGTGTCCCAAGTAAATGGAATGAACAGTGGTGCAGAAAGAAAGTTAATGATCTTCTGTATTCCACAAGGGTAAGTGTAAGCATCTTCTGTCTGCTACCCTACACTCACAGGACCACGACACATACAATTCTGGTCACCATTCTATAGGAAGGATGTTGTTAAACTTGAGAGGTGAAGAAAGTATTTACAAGGATGTTGCCAGGACTGGAGGGTTTGAGCTATAGGGAGAGGCTGAATATACTGGGGCTTTTTACCCTGATGTGTCAGAGACTGAGGGGTCGCCTTAGTGAAGTTTATAAAATCATGAGGGACGTGGATAGGGTGAATACCCAAGGTCTTTTTCCTGGGGTGGGAGTGTCCAAAACCAGAAGGCATAGGTTAAGGTGAGAGGGAAAGATTTAAAAGGGACCTAAGGGGCAACCTTTTCACACAGAGGGTGGTACATGTATGTAACGAGCTGCCAGAGGAAGTAGTAGGGGTGGGTACATTGGAAACATTTAAAAGCATCTGGGTGGGTATATAGGAAGGGTTTAGAGGTTTATGTGCCAAATGCTGGAAAATGAACCAAGGTCAGATTGGGATGTCAGTTCAGCGTGGATGAGTTGGACCAAAGGGCCTGCTTCCATGCCATATGACTCTATAACTCTATGACTCACTCTAACTCTGCCACTGTACATGCTTCTCACCAAGGTTTATAGGCTACAACTCTCACTATTGCATGCAGAATGTGCAGTCAACAGCTCTCATCCATCTCATCTTCCTAAACTAATGACTGTTCCTGACCTCTGCGCTCCCTACTCGCTCACTGCGGACATCTCTCTACTTCTCCTGCACGTGCAAGACCACTAATGGCTCTTCCATCCCCTTCCATTATACTCATCCTTCCCTTTGTCTTGTTCAAAGAATAATTGGCCTGCACCTGGGCTGGGAAGGCCAAGAATGGGAATAGGGTGCAGGGATATAAAGCCTCTCAACCTATAGGAGACCTGCTGGGGAGATTTCAAGTCCTGCATGTTCCAGTAAGGAGGAAGGATAAGGATGGCAAGGTAAAGGATCCTTGGATAATGAGAGAAGTTGTAAATTTAGTCAAAAGGGAAAAAAGAAGCATATGTAAGTTTTAGGAAGCTAAAATCAGACAGGGCCCATGAGGAATATGAGGAAAGCAGGAAAGTACTCAAGTAGAGCAAGAAGAGGCCATGAAATGACCTTGGCAAGTTGGATTAATGAGAATGCGAAGACATTCTGATGATATATTTAAAAACAAGAGGATAATTACGGAGAAGGTAGGACTACTCCAAGATAAAGGAGGGAACTTGTGCTTGGAGGCAGAGAATGTGGGTGAGATCCTAAATGAGTACTTTGCATCAATATTCACCCAGGAAAAGGATGTAGAGGATAGTGAGTTTTGTGTGGAACGTGCTATATGCTAGGGCATTTTGAGATCAAGAAAGAAGTGGAATTGGATCTCCTGAAGAGCATTAAGGTGGATAAGTCCCCAGGCCCAATGGTATCTACCCTAGGTTAATGAGAGAGGCAAGAGAGGAGATTTCTGGGGCCTTGACCAAGGTCTTTGTATCCTAGCTAGCCACTGGAGAGATCCCGGAGGACTGGCAAGTAGCTATTGTTGTTCCTCTGTTCAAGAAGGGAAATAGGGATAATCTAGGAAACTATAGACCAGTGAGTCTCACATCAGTAGTTGGGAAGCTATTGGAGAGAATTCTTAGGGATAGGATGTATGCATGTTTGAAAAAGCATGGCTTTGTGCAGGACAGGTCATGTCTTACTAACTTGATTGAATTTTTTTGAGGAGGTGACAAAGATGGCTGATGAGGGTAGGACAGTGGACATTGTTTATATGGATTTTAGTAAGGCTTTCGAAAAGGTCCCTCATGGTAGGCTCATCCAGAAGATTAGGATGGATGGGATCCATGGTGACTTAGCCGCGTGGGTTCAGAATTGGCTGACAATATTGATGGAAGGGTGATTTTTCAGGCTGGAGGTCCATGACTAGTGGTACTCCACAGGGATCTGTACTGTGCCCTCTGCTGTTTGTGATATATATAAATGACTTATGAAAATGTGAATGGGTGGATTCATCAGTTTGCAGATGATACAAAGATCAGTGGAGTTGTGGATAGTGTAGAAGATTGTCAAGGATAAAGCAGGACATCAATCAGTTGCAGATGTGGACAGAGAAATGGCAGATGGAGTTTAATCCAGGTAAGTGTGAGGTGCTGCATTTTGAACGATCAAATGTTCAAGAAAAGTATGCAGTTAATGGCAGGACTCTGAACAGCATTGATGTACAGAAAAATCTTGGGGTTCAAGTCCATAGCTGCCTAAACTTAGCCACGCAAGTAGATAGGGTGATAAAGAAGGTGTATGGCATGCTTGCCTTTATTGGTCAGGGAATGCAGTACAAGAGGCAGGCTGTCATGTTGCAACCACATAAGGCTGTAGTTAGGCAACACTTAGAGTATTGCATTCAATTCTGGTTGCCACATTACAGGAATGATGTGGAGACTTAGGAGAGGGTGCAGAAGAGATTAACCAGGATGCTGCCTGGATTAGAGGGTATGAGCTATTAGGAGAGGCTAGAGAAACTTGGGTCATTTTCTCTTGAGTGGTGGAGGCTGAGGGGAGACGTGATTGAAGTCTATAAACTTACGAGATGCATAGATAGGGTTGACTGTCAGAATATTTTTCCCAGAGTTGAAATGTCTAATATCAGGGGCCATGCATTTAAGGTTAGAGGGGGGAAGTTCAAAAGAAACACGAGGGGCAAGTGTTTTACACGGGCAGTGGTACAAGTCTGGAACGCACTGCCAGAGGTGGTAGTGGAGGCAGATACAGTAGGGGTAATTAAGGGACTTTCGGATAAGCATATGAATATGCAAGGGATGGAGGGATATGGACCAATGGCAGGCAGAAGGGATTAGTTTAATTTGGCATAATGTTCACCGCGACATCATGGGCCAAAGGGCCCATTCCTGTGCTGTACAGTTCTTTGTCCTAAAATGCCCAAAATGACTGAAGAAGTTCATGACTGCTTATGTGGGGCCAAAGAGACCAACCATCTCATTGAGCTTCATTTTATTGTGCTGCACTGCTCTCCCCTTTACCATCAATGCTAACTCCTTAATCTACACAAGCTTTTATCTCTCTCACACAATTTTTTTCCTCTAATGCAGGCACTAGCACCATCAGTGAATCTCTGCTAAGGAGAGACCAGTATTAGAATCTTGTCGTTCCACCTCTGCTTCTATGGAGGAAGCTACTCAATCCTCAGATATTGCCTGAATGCTGTGCCTGCTCAGTCTTTCACCTTAATGGGTAGTCTATGTAGATTTGAATTTGGGAGTTCAATCCGATGAGCACATTGCTGACACTTCTCCACAGCTGGCCAAGGAAGATCTTTGTCACTTTGAAGACTGCCAGAGATCAGGCATCTGCCCAGCCCCAGGCAGAAAATAATCCTGTGATCTCAGCAATTGATGACTTTGTCAAAATGCATACAGCACACAGCTCAGCAACAGCTGGCTATCAGTAAACTGGGTTGAAGGCAGGAGGAGTGCATGAATGTCTCAGTATGGCCTTTTCCATGGAGAGGTTGCTGACAGTCATGGAAAGCCAGGACCAGCACTCTGTCTGACAGACATGCTAAAGAACCTGTACCCCATCACTCCAACTATAGGTGCTCAATATCATACTGGAAGATGATTTGAGCTGGAAGATATTGAATGACAGAGCAGGCTGAAAAGACTGAGTGACCTACTCCTGTTCTTATTGTCACAGTGCTGTTTGCGAATTGACTACTGTTTATCTGTATTACAGTAATGACTACATTTCAAAAGTAGTTAATTTAGCTGTAAAGTATCTCAAGACCTCCTGAATAAAATAACTCCACAGAGGCCAGGATCCTGTTGCCAAGTCACCCTTTATTTACTTGTGGAAAGTCCTTGACACTGATGCAGGTCCCGGGGAGCCAGCTCTCAGAGTGAATAGAGCAGGCCAGGCAGCATCAGAGGAGTAGGAAAGTTGACGGTTCAGGTTTTCTGAAGCAGGGTCCCAACCCGAAACGTCAACTTTCCTACTTTTCTGATGCTGCCTGGCCTGCTGTGTTCCTCCAGTTCCACACTGTTATCTCTGACTCCAGCATCAGCAGTTCTTACTTTCTCTCGGAGTGAATAGGATGTCTGACGCTCCTGTTCTTTTTGTCAGCCAGAGTTTCCTGATTGGGTCTGTTAATCAGGTCCAATCAGGAAATTCATTTGCTATGATGTCGACCTGGCTGACCTTGTTACAATCATTGCAATCAAGTTATGAATAAATGCAAGTATTCCTTTATATTACAGTTTGCAGTTGAAACTTTACCACTGATTTGGGCTTGAAACTGCCTGGTGAAGGTTTGACTGTTTTGATTAGTTCTTTGCTGGACCATTGTTTGAATACACAAGGAAATGTAAAATGCCTTGGTATGCGGGAAATTGGCTGTTCTACCTGATTCTATAGCAAATGCACTTGCTTTATTTGAGCAGCATGCAAATACTTTACATGCTTTGAAACATTTAGTGTCTGATGTCAAGGTTGTGAAAAGTCAAGTGACTTGATTAGGATAATGAGAAATACATTAGTGATTGTGTTAGTCATTAGACAAGTAAGAAAAGCATCTAGTTGACGAACATAACATAATGCTGATTTAACAAATTGCCCAATTATTTTAATGCTTCTATTCATAAAGTAGCAAGTACCCCTATTCCACCAAATACCCATAGGGTGACCCGAGTTTATTACCTTTGTAGATGTAAGGCTTGCAATGTAGACCATAATACAGGAAATCCACAGGATTAACAGACATAAGTAAAACTGTTCATGTTTAAAGAAAATAAAAAAAAAACAAATGTAACTAAAATGATCTAGAGCAACTTTGAATAACATATTTGATCTTTGCCAAGGGTTGGTCATTCGACAAAATAAGTTCCTTTTGAAGTTTGGTGCAAAAGGTAAGCATATGTGTCAGGGAAAAACAAAGCTGGCAGAGGCAGTTGTAGCAACTGTGAACTTTGTTTTTCTCTGAAAGGACAGGATCAGTTAGTGAGTGAACAATATTAACTCTTGCTTCTAACTGGCAAATCACAACCTGCCCAACTTGTAGATTTTGTTTTACATATCTTCAGTAACTATTATTTCTGGATCTTGCAGGGGTTGGAGGATTCAGTGGAGCATTGTGCCTGAAGTATCAGATCCTGTGGTAATATTACCATTTCTTACTTTCATAAATGTATTTGTAGCAGTTGTGGAATTTTTCTTTGTGGAGATCAGTAAATGTCTGATTTGGATTTGATTTTTGGCTGTTATCAAACAGTAACTTTCAAATTTTTGGCATTCTTGAAATTTTCATTTCTGGGGGAAAAAAATGAAATCCTGAGTGTAGTGTTGCCTTTCGGTAGTGTTGGCATAAAATTGGCCTGCAACATTATACTTCTTGGTATCTACAACATGGGTGGTGTGGTGGCTCAGTGGTTAGCACTGCTGCCTCACAACACCAGGGACCCGGGTTCGATTCCACCCATGGGTGACTGTCTGTGTGAGTTTCCTGCCACGGTCCAAAGATGTGCAGGTTAGGTGGATTAGCCATGGGAAATACTGGGTGTCAGGGATAGGGTAGGGGGGGTGGGTCTAGGTGGATTGCTGCTCGGAGGGTTGGTGTGGACTCGGTGGGCTGATTGGCATGTTTCTGCAGTGTAGAGGTTCTATTCTAACCTCACAAACTTGCACATACGTGTGTACCTTTCTGTATGAATGATGCAGAATTACTTCCTTTGCCTGTAAACATTTTGGGAATAAAACTGAATCTGAAAAATCCCAGGTGCCACTTTTATAATAGGTACAGGTTTTAATCTCCATTGTCTTGGTCTTCATTTATTCCTAAACATTTTCCTAATTTGTGACTGGTCATTATCAGTTTTACAATTTATGTTTTGTCTACAAAGAGTGAGGGCGAAGAACATTAGTGACTTGTCCAATTTTTGTCTCAGACTTTGCAACAAACATAAAAGGTTATATTTAAATTAAGAACTAATTGTAGTATGATCCTATAATAGAGTGGACTATTGAGTGTTTTGCGTATATGTTCATTTGAGATGTTAAATACGGAATACAAAATTTATTCCTTACAGGAGCCTTCAAAGGAGGACCTTACTGTATCTGAAAAGTTCCAGCTTGTGCTTGATGTAGCACAAAAAGCACAGGTAGTTCGCTAAAACACATCTTGGGAGGCATTTGTACATAATATCTAACAAAGGTCTAGATAACTTATTTTGTTCTGTTGCTATGGTTGAACTATTAAATTATTGTAATTAATCTTTGTTTTGTGTTTATTAATTTCTTTCACACATTTTAATCAATTACTTTTCTTGTTTTAAACCTTTTTAGACATCTCGGTTTGGCTTTGTTAATTGTGCTGTTGCCCCGATTAGAAAGTTGTTGGTTCATGCCCCACTACTGTTTAACCATATAATCTAGGCTGATTATTTTAGTTGCATGATGGAGGCAATTTTTTTTCAGTTGTGTTTAAGCTGAGGCCTTATTAACCTAGTGCTCGAAGAAGACCAAGAAGTTCTCCAGTCTTCGTCGGTATTTCTTTCCTCAACACTTCACCAAAAAACTCAACCTGTCATTCACCTCATTATTGTTTGTGGAATCCTGCTTTGGTCAGTTTGGTGATCATTTTTACCTAAATATTGTACAACATAACTGCATCTAAAGCTAAAATGTTGGCTTTGAAATACTTTGGAATATTCAGTGAAAGATGCGAGCTTGTCCTTTTTCAAAATCAATAGATCGCACAGCAAAGCAATTCCTAGTTGTAGTTAAGTAGAATAACATAGAATATACAATTCAAGAATTAATCATTTGGCCTAATTAGCTTGTGTTGGCGAAGTACTCGAGCGTTGTGATTGCAGAATGTGGGGTCTTCTGGACAATCCATCAGCAAGTGTTTGTAGAACAATTGGCTGAACTGCAGACTGTGCAATATATAAGGGAGGGAGAATGTTACTTGGATACCTTCAACCATCCCTTAGGATGGTATGGTCTTTTGACTTGGTCACTAGTCAGGGAGTGAAAGCTCTGAGAAAGGAGGATGAGGGCACCTGGAGGATAAGGGGACCTAGAGGACATAAGTCAAGGACTTTCAGCCTTTTAAATTATTCAGTAGGTTAGAATTTTTTCAGTGTGTTTAGGTGACACTGAGGGCTGCAAGATGGATTTGCTAATTGACCATGAAAGGGAGGACAGGAAATTATCCTCATGGGCAGAAGCAAACAGGACTGCAGTGACTGTAGAGGGCAGTACAATGAGTGTGATTGGTATTGCTGTCTGCATCAAATAATGTGGGTCTACTTGGCTGTGTTACCTGCTTGGTGCCAGAGTTCAGGACATCTGTTTAGGTCTGGGCTTCAAAAAGTCTAAGGTTATCAGGCAAAGTCAGCATGGTTTTGTGAAAAGGAAATTATGTTTAACCATCTATTGGAAATCTTTGAGGAGCTAACATGTGCTTTGGGGAAAGAGGAAATGGTGGATACACTATGCTTGGATTTCCAGAGGGCATTTGATAAGGTCCCACATCAAAGGTTACTGCTGAAAATAAAAAGTTTGTGTCTAGGGGAACATGTTAACACAGATGGAAGATTGGTTAGCTAACAGTTAACAGTGTAGGCATAAATGGGTTATTTTCTGGTTGGCAAAATGTAATGAGTGGTATGTCACGGGGCTCAATGCTGGGGCCTTAGATTATTGCAATTTATAGAAAGGGCTTGGATGAAGGAAGTTTGCTGATGACACAAAGAAAGGTAGGAAAATAAGTTGTGAAGAGGACATAGAGAAGATACAAAGATATTATGGTGAGTGTGCAACGACGTAAATGAGTGTAATGTGGGAAAATGGGAAGTTGTCCATTTTGGCAGAAAAAAATAAAGCATATTATCTAAATGGTGAGAGATTGCAGAGAAATGTAGAGACATCTGGTTGTCCTGATGCATGAATTGTAAAACTTTAGTATGTAGGTACAGCAAATGATTAGGAAAACTAATAAAATGCGACTGTTTATTACAAGGGGAATTGAATGCAAAAGAATGGAGCTTGTGCTTCAGTTATGCAGGACATTGGTGAGATCACATCTGGAGTACTGGGTCTAGTGTTAGATGGATAAATATAAGTGAGTTAGAATCCGTTCAGAGAAGGTTCACCAGATTAATACATCGAATGGGTGGGTTGTCTTATGACAAAAGATCTGACAGTCTAAACTCATATTTACTGGAGTTTGAGAGTAAGGGGAAACTTGATTGAAATATGAGACCTGGTCAAATTCGAAAGGGATATTTTTCCTTGTGGGTGGAAAAAGAAGTAGTAGTTAGTGTTTAAAAATAAGGGTTGGTCAAGACAAAGATCAGGAGAATTTATTTTCAATAAGAGTTTCTTGAGTCTTTAGAACACTCATCTTGTAAAGGCAATAGAAGCAGAGTTTGCATATTTTGGGATAAGTTGATTCTTGAAGTGCAAGAAAGGTGAAAGGTTATTGGGGGGAGGTGGGAATGTGGAGCAATCGGATCAGCCACGATCTTAGTGAATGGTCTACTCTTGTTGTTCGTATGTCAATTTCATTTGCCCCATCACAGCCTTTCAGTACATCTTTCTATTACGTTTTCTCTCATGTACACCTCTAGTATCCTTTTGAAAGCATCTATGCTACTTATCTCAACCACTGTCTGCAGTAGGGAGTTCCACATTCTAATCACTAAGTGAAAATTAGTTTTATTTTATTGTATTTGGTGGTACCTCTCTTATATTCATAGACTGTAGCTGGATTCTCCCCACACATCCTCACCACATCTACCTTAATATGGCATCACCTATTTCTTTTTAAAAAAAGAGATCAATTGCATTAAAGTGGTTGGTAAAACTCTGCCGGATTTGTAAATCAAGACATACTAATAACTTAATCGTTTACCTAACATTATTTGAATATTATGTAAAAGTTAAATTGAAAAATTATTCAGCATCTTCCGAGTAGCTGCAGTGCATTTCAAGTAGAATGCTCATCTTGAATGCAAATAACCTCAGTTTTCAACATGTTAGATTTTGAACTGAGTTTTCAGAGCAGGCAGAGCCAGAAATTAAACCGTCTCTTGCAGTACATTGTAGTGGTACAATTAAATCCATTAGTGTTGAAAATTTGAGATGGAAAAATTGCAGAGAAATTGTGCAATTATAGATACTCAATCAGTGCCTAAAAATGTTTAACATTTGCAGTTGTGAAGATCCTTTTTTTTGAGGGAATACTGAATAAAAACTGAAAGAACTACGGTTGCTGTAAATTAGGAACCAGAACAAAGTTGCTGGAAAAGCTCAGCAGGTCTGGCAGCATCTGTGAAGGAAAAAAACAGAATTAACGTTTCGGGTCCGGGTTCTGAAGTAGAGTCACCGAACCTGAAATGTTAACTGTTTTTTTCCTTCTCAGATGCCACCAGACCTGCTGAGCTTTTCCAGCAACTTTGTTTTTGGTCCTTTTTTTGGAGGGAGTTGTCCCAACGGGTAGAATTTAACATTAAATTTAATAAGGCTCACATTGTTGCCAAAGACAAATGCATTGAAATGATACAAATAAATAATTTCAAAGCATATTTTCAGTAGGTTCAGTTACAGAGCCAAATGAATATTTCACTGTTGAAGCACGATCCAATAAAGCCTTGTTTGTTTACTCCCAAATTCCATGACCTTCAAATAAAATGTGAAAAGTTGTCTTTTTTTCAATTTGGAAGATGAGTAGTGTTGAATGTATCAGAACTTTCAAAACTGTAATAGTTGTAATATGTGGATACATTCAAGTTAATATTTAACATTTAAGTTATTCTCGACTTTAACTGGAAAAACTAATTCATGAATAAGTGAAAAAATAAAATGCAATTTTGCAAATTTAAATGCCAAGTATTAAATTATATTTCACTTTGTCTTGCTAGTATCTTAGAAATCTTGCTTTAATGTTGATTTTAGAATTGTATGTAATAACCTTGAATATGATTTTCCTAATCCTTTTCTGTTAGCTGTACAAAAATGAGTTTTGTACTTTCCAGGCCAATGTCTGCATTAACTGTCACAAAGGTATATCATTAACCCCATGCATAATAGTTTGATTCTTTTTCAGTAACCTATTTTAAGTGGATACAACTTTTTAAAATTTAAATTGCAGAATCTTTTTGGCAAGATGGCAGACGTACTGGAAAAAATTAAAAAGTAAGATTTTCATTTGCTGTAAATTTCTGTATCTAATTTAATATCTGAATAGACAACTTGTTGAAAATCCCTGCCAAAATTATGATCTGTTTTTAAATTTTACAGCTTATTTATGTGGGTGCATCCAGAAATAACACAGAAGTTGTACATGGGCTTGTGGGTCCTCTTTATTGCATCTTGCTTCTTCCCATACAGAATTTTGGGCCTCTTCATAGGTAAATAATGTTATAGAATTAACTTTTTCAGTGTTTTTTCAAAATTAATTTCAACTGTAAGAGGTAACTGTTTGGTACAATGAATGTAATTGATATGTTTAGTGATCTCTGGGTGAAAGATTACTTCAAAAATGGCCATTGCAAAGTTAAATAGTCCCTTGCTCATATCAATATGCTGAGAACATTACATAGAGTTGGGCAAGCCTACACATGCCAATGCATTATCTCCATGCCTAAAAACTGCCAAATTAGATCTGATCACTGAAAGTGCATCTTGCTAACTCTATGTAAGTTTGAGTACACGGACCGCAAGATAATGTTTGGCAAGATACTCTCAAGATTGAATTACTTTGCAATACTCACTTTTGATGCTCACTCAAATAATAGTTACTTTGCCAAAATTGCGAAGTGGATCTGCTACTTGTGCGAATGTAGTCTATTTAATGAGCTATTGCTTTCAGGAGAAATTTGGACAATATTGGCACAACAAGTGGGGATTCTTCCATTTAAGAATTCTGTCCATTAGCTGTCAAAAAAAGCCTGGAATTTAACAGAAAATCAGAATGGTGCTTCTTTCCTGCCCATTTTCTGTTAGTATTTGATTTTTCCTTGTCTTCAATTACGTTTGCTAAATTGTTTCAAGTTGGTTTCAAGCTTCCCCTCCTGACCTAGTATTATCTAATGATGATAATACTTCCTTCTGTACTTCAAATTACCATCTTCCTCAAAAAGACAACGCTTTTTCCCCTTTTCTTCCAAAGTGCCACCCAGTTTCCATTCTCCCCAAGGTCCTCGAACGTATTGTTGCTTCCATTCTCAATGCCTTTGCTTCCTGCCTCCATGTTTCAACCTATCCATTCAATTTTCAACAATGCTGCAGCACTGAAGCAACCCTTATTAAAGTGACAAATGACATCAAATATGTCCATGTCAGTGGTAGGCTATCCCTCCTTATTGTTCTTAATCTCTCTGCAATATTTTACAAGTTTGACTGGTTGATCATTCAATCATCTTCCCACACTTGTCCTCAAACATCCTCTGGGTAGGGCTTCTCTTGTTTGCTTCCTTTTTAACTATGAAGTCATTACCCAGGAAGCACTTGTGGTGTTTCTCCTCCCACTCCTGCTGTTAGCCCTGGAATGACTTATTCTTTGCTGCCTTCCAATTTTCGTTTGCATGCTTCCTCTGACAGCACCATTCAAAAACACACTGAGATTCTACATGAACTTGGAAAAGATCCCGTTCTCTGTTACCACTACCTCTGTCAATTTGGCTGTTGCTCTGAATTGTCGTGCTGTTTACTTGATGTCCTGGATGAGCAGAAATTTCCTCCAACAAAATGTAGGACTGATTGACACAGACCGAAGGTAACAGCTTCATGAACTCTGTTCCTTAGCTACTGATTCCATTTGCAACTTTAATATTCAACATCTCTGAGCATTCAACTACATATCTGCTCCATTACCAAGATTGCTTACTTCCATTTCTATAACATTTTTTTGGCTCTGCCCTGTCTCAGCTTATCCACAGCTGAGGCACCTTATCCATGTCTTCCACTGACTGCAGCTATCTGGGGCTATAAGTTCTGGAAGTCTCTCCCTAGGTCTCTCAACCTCACTACTGCTGTCTCCCCTTAAAGAACCTGCTTCAAACCAACTTCTTTGATTACCTGCCCTAATGGCTTCTTAAGTGGTCAGGCTTCTCCTTCTCTCACAAAAACGTTCTTGAGACGCTCAGAATGTTTTATTCTAAGTGCTATATGACTGCAAATAGTTATGATTGTAAAATGGCATTTTTGACTAAGTCCTTTAACATTTTCAAAGCAACCAGTGACCAAAAATTAAGCTCAAGCTAGTATTTTCCTGCCTCAGAGTCTAGAAGAGAATGAAGTACAGAAAGGAAACAATCATCATTTTTTTCTTTGGAAGTATACCATCAGATAGCACTGTATATGGTTTCATTTGCAAGGCCAGGAAACAGACAAGGTCTGCCAGTCACATCTGGCTTGCTGCAGCATGAGTTACCTTTTGAACTAGCTAAGAACGCTAACCCATCTGAAGTGGGAGAGATTGCTTTCACTTAGGTGACCAGCAGTTTTCCATTCATCGCTAGGCAGTTGGATGTTCCATTGCTGTTAATGAGCTTTACAATTTCAAGGAGGTAACCTGTTTTAATTACAATAGACCTCAATGATTAGTTTAAGCTGGGCACGCATTGTGACTCAACATCCGTTTGACTCCAGAACACATTCCATTAAGGTAGGATGTTAATAAGCATGCTAATATGCCTGTGTTTTCTGACACTGACACATTTAAAATCCAGTTTAAGGTGGTTTTCTCTTTAGCTAAAATACAGCACCAGGGCTGTCTTATTATTGGAAGTATGCAGAGATACCTGAGGTTTGTATACTCATGAGAAACAGGCAAGAATCTGCTTTCAGTCTGAAAATGAGTGTGAGAAAGCTAAAATGATGAGCATTATAACCTGTAGATGAAATTCAGTTTGTTATTTTGAATGTTGCCATCCGTCCCTGCCGGCTTTAGGTGGTATTGGTTCTAGACCAAACTTGGAAATTTAAGGATAATTTATTGGGCTTTGTAGGTGTTGCTGGTGAGTGTCATGCTCAAAGGTTTAATCAAACTACCATACATACTGTTGACAGTTTGTACTTGAACTAGCAGTAGGTACGATCCAAGTCGGGTTTGTTGTACTTTGTCTCAATTTCTAGTCACGTGACTACCTGAAAACCGGATGGTTTTCAAAGATACAGTGACTTTTAATGTGTGGAAAAAAGCATCAGTTTTTCTGAAAAGTGAATTCAATCAAGTAGATTTGGGATGATAAACGTCATTCTAAGGTAGCTGGACTGCATGCACAGAACCAAATTTATGCGTACGTTGTATATTCAGGTGATATTCCTTTCAAACAGCACAGTATTCTTCAGTATGTAAACTTAGATTACATCAAGTATGGCTTTATTCTTAAACTATCATTATTGTAAATCATTTTCATTTCTTTGATATAGTGTGGTCTTTGAATCTTTCTGGGACTTCATGATACTGAATAAATGTCAAAAGATGAGACCGCATGTAGCCTTGCTTGAGAATTGTTGAACGATTTGTTTAACATAAGCCCAAGTTATATGTATTAATTTGGATTGAAAAATAACTTTCAAATAACCACTTGTGTATGAGTGAAATTTGTCTATGTGTATGCTTTGCTGTAATTCATTGTTTAACCTTATACAAAAATGTATGTTGTTCTTAAATTATTTTAATCCAATACATTACTTCATTCTATTTTAGGACTTTATGCAGGAGTAAAATTTTTTCTCATTGACTTCATCTTCAAACGTTGCCCAAGGCTTCGAGAAAAATATGATACTCCTTACATTGTGTGGAAGAATTTGCCCACAGACCCCCAGTTGAAGGAAAGATCAAATGCTGTACTGATGAGACGGGTATGTACTTCTGGTTAAAGGATCTGCTATTTTAGTTGTTGTTTTAAAAAAAAATTACAGAGGTCCTGGTTAGTGGCTAGAACACAGACAGTTAACTTTTTTTTAACATGTTGGTATACTGATCACACTTGCTGTTGAAGAAATTTATTGGCAAATTTATTAACACCACAAAAGTACAGTGTAGTTACAAGTAATGTTAATTCCTCAGTTCAATCTCTACAGAACTAACTACACCAAAGTTATTTTCTAAGTTTTACTTGCTTTCTGTATTTAAGAGCAAGATGTACAATACTAGAGAAATCTAATTATTTTTCCATGATTGGAAGCACCCAATCTGTTGTTGGTCCAGCCCTTAACCACTATTAACAAGTTTCTAATGTAGTTTGGTTGTGTATTTATGTATGTTTATGTGTGCGTGAGAGAGAAAAGGGAGAATATGCTGGGCTAGGTATAATTTAGAAAGCTAATTGATTAAATTTAGCACCTTGTAGAGTAGCCGTGATATAATTTGTTGTCTCTGTTACATATGTTTTATTGTTTCTTTTCCTGCTAGCTGTCAGGGTTTGAAAAGGTAGGGTTTAAGTCTATAAAAATTTTAAGAATGTTGTGTACTTTTAAAATTGTTAGTATTCATAAATTAGATATTGAGTGATCTTGTTGAAATTGTTATGTTTTGTCTTATTTGTTTTAGTACTATTAAATAGCTTAGTATTTTACTTGTCATGGAAAGTGTTAGGACTAAGAAAGGTGTTTTGAAAGTTGGATTTTAAAAATTTACTAGATGAAATAATCTGTTACATTTTACTGCAGTAGTTAATTCAATGTTTTCTTTGAGAGTCCAATTGTGTAGCTTCTTACCTTTTAAGCTTAAACATTAAATTCTCCTAATGCATTGTTACTTACAGATTTTCTTAAAATGAATTTCCATTTATTATAAATGTATAGTTTAAAGAGCACCAATTACTTTGTTGTTGAACCTTAGCCACTGAACCTGTTACATTTGTTCTGCTTCAATCTCAATGATAACTTCACGTTTCATAATATTTGTGCATTAAAGTGTGACACAACCTGACTAAGGTGTACTATTGTAGATCACATAGAATTGATTCATTGAGCAGAATTAGAGATCAAGTGATTTGTTTCTGGAAACTTTATAAGTAATGATTGCTGCAGTATATCAAATCTGGCTTTGGAAGCTCCAGAGAAAAGAAGTTACAAACTGAACCAGCAAATTACCTTTATGATTGAAGAAAATCTTTGATGATAAGTTAATGGTTTTGGTGTTGGCTGAATCAGAAAATTTGTGAAACTGAATTATTGAGTCTTAAATCAATGTAAATATTTTTCACAGTTAAATTTGTAAGTGTCAAACCTTTTAGTCTCTTTTTACTCGTGTTTTTGTGCTGCTATGCCCTACTATATGGATTTTCCACAATTTCTGCAAAGACATGAACAAAAATTAGGAACATTGCTTATTAATCACGTGCACCAATTCTTTTCTCCTTTCTTACTTTTTAAAAAAATATTGAGTCCTCCTTCATTATTAAAGTATGTGGCAAGGAAGTAAAGGATGGTGGACAGGTACAAGGAGAGAATTCCAGAGTTCAGGACTTAGGTGGCTGCTGGGATGCAAAGTTTTTGGAATAGAAATGAGAGCAGAGTTTTAAAAAAAGCGGTTTTGAAGTTTTCAGGGCTGGCAGTGGTTATGGAGATAAGACCATGAAGGGTGTTAACTTTGAGGATGGAAACTTTTAAATGTGAGTTGTTGGTAATGGGAGGCAGTGTAGTACAGCAAGCACAGAGGTGATGAGGGAGAGTCAGTGTAAGAGGCAGTAGGAGCTGCAGAGTTTTATATGGGGTGAAGAGGATAGTGCATAGGAATCTGACTGGATGAGCAACTGATTCATTCAGTGGTGAGGAAGCTTTTCATCAGGTGTGTCACATTTGGACATGGAAATTGTTTCAGGAACCAGGGCTCTTATGGCACAGCAGCTGTATCCCAACCTCTGGGCCAGAAGACCTAGCTTCAAGTCCCACTTGCTCCAGAGGTGTATCTGACTAGGTTGATTTTTTTTTAAAATCAGGGACCGTATCAGCGCTCAAGTATCAGACAACTAAAATAAATGTAAATGTTGATACAGATAAATGTAAAACTTTTATTATGATAATTACATCATAATGATTTTTTGCTGGAGGTTAAACAGAACAAGAATTTTCTCTATCACTGTAGATATTTCGGGCTCAAAGGCAACAGAATCTGTTTACAGTTTCTGGATTGTATTTCTCCTGAAAGGTGATTTCTTTGTGTTCTTGCATTCTCTGGCCCTCCAGCATGCTGACAGTATTATGCTGCCAAACAATTAATAAGAAACATGCCTCTTTCTTTTATGATTCCTGAGTGTTAAGGGAACGGTAGATTTCAGGCAGAGCAAGGTAATTAAACCATAAAAGTGATGTAGAGTTAGGTCTCTGTTTGCCACCAAAACAGCACTAGCTGTTCTGAACGAATAATGCGTTTGAATCTATATCATATTCTGAAAGACGGCAACTCGAGCAATGCTGCAACTCCTCAACACTGTGCTGGAATGTCAATTAGCTTTGATTTTTGTGCTCAAGCCTTGGGGTAGTGCTTGAAGCTGAAATTGTCAAACTTAGAGCCCAGTGTGTCCCTAACTGAGCCTTGGCTGTCACGGGTTTCTGTCACTATTTCACAAGCGCATTTTGCCAATTTCAATCCATTAAAGTGGAACAATATACTGACAGTTCAATTTTGCAAATGCAACACTGCTATCATAAAAAGAAAGCATGACAAAATGGGGAACTACAGGCTAAGTTAACCTGACATCAGTTGTCTGGAAAGTCTAAGGAAGCCTTATCAATACAATTGGAATGCAGTGCAAACTAGATCCAAGCCAGTCAGGAAGACAGAAACCATGATGCCTTTTATCATGGATAAGAGTTATTTTTTTAAAATCAACTTGTCAGGCATGTTATGACTTACACATGTAGCAGGTGGGACTTGAATCTAGACTCGACTTTCCAGCCGAGATGGAGGGACACCACTACTGTGCTACAAGACTCCTTTTTTTATTTTACTGCAGTTTGTTTGGGCACATTATGATACACTTCCATGGTAGGTGAGATTTGAAACCAAGCGTCCAGATGCAGAGATAGAGAGACAACCACTGCACCACATGACCCTTAATTCAAGTATAATTTTAATCAGTCTATTTGGACATACCTCTGAGGCAGGTGGAACTTTTCTGTTTTTCATTCATGGGGTATGGCTATCACTGGCTGAGCCAGCATTTATTGGTGATTTTTAGTTGCCCTTGAGAAGTTGATGGTGAGCTGCCTTCTATAGCTGCTGCACTCCATGTACTGTAGATAGACTCACAATGCAATCCGGCAGGGAGTTCAGAATTTTGACAGTGACACTGAAAGAACAGCAATATATTTCCAAGACACTTCCAAGCTCAGGGATTTGAGGGAGGTAATATATTAACATGGATAGAGAATTGCTTAATGGACACAAATTAAAAATTGACGTAAATGGGGCATTTTCAAGTTCGCAGATGGTGAGTAATGTAATGCTGCAGGGATCAATGATAGGGTCTCAACAATTTACAGTCAATATTAAAGAGTTGGGTGAAGTGATATAGAGTAATATATCTAAGTTTGGTGATGATATAAAGCTGTAGGGAGGATAGTGTTTGCAAAGAAATAGACCTGTTAAGTGAATGGACAACAAGCTGGCAGATGGAATAGAATGTGGGTGAATGTGAATAGTCATATTAGTAGAAAAGCAGAATAATTTTAAAAAGGTGTGAAGCTTGCAAATGTTGTTGTACACTGTTAATCAGCTGATGTTACGATCAATGCTGGCTGAAGGGAAACCAAGTTACTTTGCAAGATACGGCAATCAATTGTGATGGTAAGTGACATATTGGCCTTTAATTCTAAACAGATGGGTGTACAAGAATAAAAAGGACTTGCTGGAGTTGTACTAGAATTTGTTGAGGCCACAATTGAAATACTGTGTAGTTTTGGCCTTCATATTTAAGGAAGGATTTCCTTGTACAAACAAACTGGTTCCATTTTGGGGGTCCATTCACAAGTTTACTTTTCGGAAGTCAGAGAACAACATAAGACAATGCAAAGGAACCATTAGTAAGTACAGGAAATGTTTATATGTTGGTTCTTTAAAAATTAAAACCACATATGGGATTGTGTTAGTTAAGTTCAAGCATTTGTAAGTTGGATGTCAAAAATTGTGAACCCCCTTGATTGGAGGTAGTACAGCAAACTTCCACTGGTGTTTAGAAGGAGAGGTGATCTCTTTGAAGGTTTGGCATTCTGAAGGGGTTTAACAGGGTATCCAGCTGGCTAGGGTATCTAAAACATGGTAGCACAGTTCCTGTTTAAAGGTACAATCATTTAAGACTAGTGCAATTTCTTTCTTCAAAGGTTGGGTGACTGTATGTGATTCCCCACCCTACGGAATTGTGGATTTTCCATAATTGAATATAGCTGAATCTGGGTAAATAGATTTTTGATCTCGAGAATCGAGAATGGAGAGCGTGTGAGAAAATGGAGTTGAAGGCTAATCATGTGAAGTCTTCAAACATGGTGAATGGTGGAGCAGCATCTATGAGAGCGTGGTCTGCTGTTGCTTCAATCTTGTGTTCTTGTGTCTCCAAGATTGACCTAATGTCCCACAAGCATACTTATCTTGGTATTTGCTACCAACATTGCAGACTTTTGGCTTCTAAATTTCAATTCCTGATTCCATTAGCAGAATTTTTGTGCATTATTAAGTAGCTGCTCTAAACCAAGACAGCAGCTAGTGCTGTGGAACTTTCCTTCACATTTTTCGAGGTGCAGAAAAGAATGGTAGTTACACCTGCTCAAAAATGTGCATTGTGTAGAGCTAACTATAATTATGCTACCATTATGACTGCTGGGCTCTTCTTACCTTAAAATCCACGAGGAGCACTATAGTTTTAGGAATGTGGTAGAGATGTGCTTTTTGTAGGTGGTGGGGTGTCGCTGTGTTCTGAGAATTTTTTTATTATCGACGTCTAACAATAGGATCAGAATGTGATTAATGCATTTTGAAAAAAATCAGGAGGATAGGTCTTTGTTGTTTTTCATTTGATATTTCAAATATGTTTCTTTCACATACTATGCTTCTATCCATGGTGCTACTGTGGACCAAATCAGAGGCTCCCAAAGCTTTCTCTAGGTCTGAATTAATTAGCTGATTGGTAGCAGATGAACTGAGGCAAACATGGAAAATATTCCGAGGGGAAAGCCTTCCTTATGGAGAGGATAAGGAGTTGGAAATGCAGCTTGGAATTTAATAGGATGCCAGTGTTAAGTAATGTTGGTACCAGCCTGAGACAGTGGCAAGGCTGCAGAGTTGGTGTCTGGCCAGAGGCGATCTTGTTGGTCTATCTGATGTCTCACTGGAGAAGACTGCAGCTCATCCGAATTGGAAGTCAGACAACAAGCCTGAATGTTGGCACTTCCTAGACTGTTTGGCTGAGGTACAAACCTTCATCTCTAAGTCGTTGAGTGAGTTTTGTGATGCAACTTTATCTAACTCACATGTATTTGAAATTGGTGTTATTGGTTGTAATTGGTTGTATTATTCGGCAGTAGGCTATTTCCATGAATGTAGGTAAATGAAGTGTTGAAACCGTATGCTTTCTGGAGGAGGTCAGTGTTGAGCTCTTCCTAATTACTATTTTAATTTTTTATTTTGGTGGTGACCAGAATTTTAGATCAATGTGCTTTCATAAGAGGAAGAAACAGATTTGAAGTTCCTGAAATAAATGCAGCAGCGCCATCTAGTGGCACATGTGTTTTCAACTGCTGAGTCAGAGATTGCACTGACTTTCTCCCCTCCCATCCCCTCAAAACAAAAGTTTGTGTCATCATGTAAATTCAAGTTTCAGTTACTATGTACTGATAGTTTTAATTTCATATGTTTTAAAACATAGATCTAGTTAATATTTAAATACATAATTTTTTAGACAGCAATGTTCATTTTCTTTGGAACTGGTTAATTGTCTGAATCATGCATAATTTATCTTTAGTTTTTCTTGTGACTATAATTAAATGGGTTAGCATACAGGTTTCTACCCTTTGACACTTTGTTTCAAATCCAGCCCTGGCTGATAACATGAAATTTTCCCCATGGTGATGTATGGATATACTGTGAATTAAATTTTTAGGCTACTTCTCAGCGGTTACATATTTACAGGACAAGAGAGCTAATTATTTGACATGAGCCAGTAAATTTTATTTAGAGAGGCTGTAAAATATTCACAAAGACTCGAGAATTTAAAAGAAATCTGAATTGTTATAGTAATTTACAAAAAGTAAAATTGGTGAATTTTGTACTTTTTTAAATTCACTTGTGGAAATGGGGATTGCTGGCTGGGGCAGCATTTATTGCCCTGCCATAGTTGCCCTCGATAAGGTGGTGGTGAGTTGTCATCTTGAATTGCTGCAGACTATGTGCTGTAGGTTGACCCACAATGCCATTTGGGAGGGAATTCCAGGATTTTTACCCAGCAATGGTGAAGGAACAGCTGTATATATCCAAGTCAGGATAGTTAGTGGCTTGGAGGGGAATTTGCAGGTGGTTGTGTTCCCATGTATGTGCTGCCCTTGTCCTTCTAGATGGAATTGGTCTTGGGTTTGGAAGGTGCTGTCCAAGTATCTTTGGTGAATTCCTGCAGTGCATCTTATAGATGGTACTACACAGCTGCTACTGTGTGTGGAGGGAGTGGATGTTTACAGATGTGGTGCAGTCAAGTGGGTTGCTTTGTCCTGGATGATGCCAAGCTTCTTGAGTGCTGTTGGAGCTGCAGCCATCCAGGAAGATGTAGACTATTCCATCACACGATTGACCTGAGCGTTTTGGATGGTGGACAGGCTTTGGCGAGTCAGGAGGTGAATTATTTGTTGCAGTATTCCTAGTGTCTGACCTGCTGTTGTAGCCACTCTTTACGTGGCAGGTCCGTTTGAGTTTCTGGTCAATGGTAACCCCAAGGATGTTGACAGTGGGGGAATCAATGATAGCAACATGACTGAATATCAAGGGGCAGTAGTTAGATTGTCGCTTATTGGAAATGCTCATTACCTGGCTTTTGTGTGGCACGAGTGTTATTTGCCACTTGTCAACCCAAGCCTGGATGTTGTCCAGGTCTTGTTGCATTTGAACATGGACTGCTTCAATATTTGAGGAGTGCTGAATATTGTGCAGTCATTTCCATTTCTGACCTTTTGATGGAGGGAAGTTCATTTGTGAAGCAGCTGAAGATGGTTGGGGCCTAGGACACTACCCTGAGGAACTCCTGCAGAAATGTCCTGGATCTGAGATGTCTACCCTCCAATAACCACAATCATCTTCCTGTGTACCAGGTCTGACTCAAACCAGTGGAGAGATCCCCCGATACCCATCAATTCCAGTTTTTCTAGGGCTCCTTGATGCCACACTTGGTCAAATGTGGCTTTGATGTCAAGGGCTGTGACTGTCACCTCACCTCTGGAATTTAGCATTTGTGTGCATGTTTGAACTAAGGCTGCGATGAGGTCAGGAGCTGAGTAGCCCTGGCAGAATCCAAACTGGGTGTCACTGAGCAGGTTATTGCTGAGCAGGTGCTGTTTGATAGTGCTGTTGATGACACCTTCCATCACTTTATGACAAGAATGCAAGGTTGTAGAAGGATATTCTTGCTCAGTCTGATCCAAGATTTCAGTGTGCAACCTTTTAAGGTGGCAAATTTATGTGCAAATGAAATATATTTTTGTTTGAGGTGGAAGATGAGTACAGAAGCTGTTGACACGCCTATTAATATATTGTATCAGATAATGTTTGCAAATAAAGAATAAATTTCTATTTTTTCATAAATATAGCTCAAACTGTACTCAAGATAGTCTTACCAAACAAAGTTTGAATTTTTCACTTTTCTTCTCTGCTCCCCCCACCCCCACCACTCTGTCACGTCACCAGGCTTGATATTTATTTTCCGTAACAGTAGCCCCTGCCAATAGTTTTTCTCCACATTCAGTTAAAGACACACATTTATTTAGCCAAATCACCCTGTTTCTGGATTGGTGGAGACCAAATATGCTACTGAAGTTACACTGTACAATTCTGTGGAAGTCCAGACATACTAAACCATGTGGGAATTGCCCAGGAGGTTTATGTGTCCAATGGGCAATTCACATGTTGCCTAGTACTGACGCTGAGCTAGAGTTGGAAACTTCAGGCAGTGCTACGAGTTTTACCTGGATAGTTGCCAATGAAATGTCAAACAGATGTAAACATGGTCTAACTTCTTGGGTAACTACATAATCACACCCTACCCCCGCCCCTCATCTACACTGACCAGCTGCTTACAAAGTGGGGTTGAATATGCCTACACATCAGCACACCCAACCCAACCACCTCCCAGACCCGACTATCCTTCGACCACCTGTCTTGCCCCCAACCCATCCTGATCTCTTCTTCCTTCAACCCTACTCTCTGCCTACGCAGCTACCATTTCATCCACCGAGTTAGCCATTCATTGTCATTGAAAAACTGGACTTTTAATCTTACCATACATTGGGTGGTCTGCTAAGAAGGTGGAGTATCCTATCTTACCCTAATCCACTCTGCTGCAATGGAGTTCCCCAAGGAATGATGTGCTCTGCATTTCTTTGACAGCTGAGCTTGTAGGATCCTGGAAGAAAAGCTCAGCAGCCTCCAATTTGGAGAATCTTTGATAGAGCAGTAACCTGCTCATCAGTGCTGCTGCTTGGAAGATTTGGGCCAATGTATTTTGAAGGTCTAATTTACTTTTATTAAAGTAATTTTTAATATCAATCCAAAGTGGGCAAAAATCACAGGAAACTGAAATAGCCTGAATAAGGAGGTTGGCACTTCTGGATAACTTACTGTCCAATTAATAGAATACCTTTTAGGAATACATTAAAGTCTGCACCAGAATTTTTAAAGTGTGCTCCTTCAATCTGAGTACAAGGCAATCTCATCAATTGTTGCAGAGATGACTTGAAAACTCAAAAATGTTGTGATTGTTATGAGAAATCAATTTTGTTCAAAAACAGACTTTAGAATTATTGCATTTTGATTTATACAGATGTTAATTCAATCAAATGGGCTTCCCTGGATGGATGTCCTCAGGGAAGTCGGTTGAACATTCTCATCTGTATTTTGCGAACAAAAATTTCTTCACATTTTAACGTTGAATACACATAGGTTGTACCGTCACAACTTTTGCACTTCCATCTATTGCACCTCACTGGTAACCTCTGCCCTTTTTATTTTTGGCTAAATACAATGCACAGGCGAAATGATTTGGCAAATAGAAGAAGGCACTAAAGTGCCCATCCTGCAAATTTTCATCAACTGGTAAGAAGTTCAAAGAAATATAAAAGGATAGAGGTTACAATAATTGAAATAATTTACTTTTATAAATTGATTGGTAATTTGAAAATAAAATCTTCTAATAAGTGAACATAAATGTATTGGAACTACCTTTCTGGAAAGCTGAACAGTAAAAGGGAGAAAGGGAGTTTGTGGGTGTTGGATGGTGGTGGCAACATTTGTTAAACAGCCAAAGTTAGTTCAAGCCATGTAGTTTAAAGCTTGATATGATCGAACCTCACCTTGATTGCATTGTTTCCACAGATTCCAACAGTTGTGTCAAGGTCCAATGTAACTGCCAACAGCATGTCTGTGTATAGCAGGGAGGATGATGGTGTACGTTCACACAGCTCCAAAAAAAGCAGCTTCAGTGAGATCTTCAATTTAGCAGAGAATGAACGCCCTTTACCAGGTAGCTAAAAGAAATGTAACTGTAATTTATTTTGGCAATTAAACACATTTAAAAATGCTCTGAAAACTCCAATTTCAAAGTCTAACGAGGAAAATCAATGTTATTCCTTAATTCCTTACTGTCGGGGGCTACCAAGAGGAAAATCAATGTTATTCCTTAATATTTAGAGTCAATATACAGACAGTACTATGTAAGTTTGTTTTGTATATTAAATTCATGAAAAGTTAACTGTCCAGACCGTAGCTTCTACAGACTATGATGAGATCTAATTCCAAAACTTCTGGTTGAATCTACAAGTAATTGCAAGCTCTGGCTGCCTTTCTTTAGCAGTGTAAATTTTTTGAGATGGCAGTCTTGTTCATATAAGCATTTAAAGGAATCTAATTATTTAGTTTATACCCTCACAATCTTTGCACTTCCATCTGTTGCATCTCACTGGTAACCTCTCCCCTTTAGTTTTTTTTAAAAATCTCTAGATATCCACAATAGATTCCTGGATCTATGAATCTCTGTCATTTGCTGCCGTTTAACTGGGCTTTACTGAGAAAATTTATCTTGCCCATCCGATCACCACCTCTCCCCTATCTACCTCTAGCTCATGTTTGCTTAATTGGTTCCCCCACTCTTCAGCACTTCCTGCTTTCTTGCCTCTTTTCACCTAAATATTTATTTGCTCTTCACTCCTAGTGTGCAATGCCATGAGAGACTGAGCAACCTTATTTAAGTAATTAGGAACAGGAGTAGGCCACTCAGTTTGGTCCATGCTATAAAAACTATGGTTGCTTTCCTTCATTTGTATTTGCTCATCTTCGCTTCAAGTCACTAGATACCCTTGTCGAGCAGGAACCTGCAATTATCTCAACATCTTAGACCATAAGGTAACAGAGCCAAATTAGACCATTCAGCCCATTGAGTCTGTTTCACCATTTGATCATGGCTGATATGTTTCTCACCTCATGGTCCTGCCTTCTTCTTGTAACCTTTGATCTCCCTACGAGTCAAGAACCTATCTATCTCTTTCTTTAGTTCATTTGTTGCATTGGCCTTCACAGCCTTCTGTGGCAATGAATTCCACAAATTCAGCATCCTTTGGCTGAAGAAATTCCTCCTCATCTCAGTTTTGAAGGGTCATGCCTTCACTCTGAGGCTGTGCCCCGGGGCCTGGTTACTCTTACTAGTGGAAGCATTTTTTCCATGTCCACTCTATCCAGGCCTCTCAGTCTTCTGTAAGTTTCAATGAGATCCCTTATAATCCCTCTCAACTTCAGTGAGTACAGAGCCATAGTCCTCAACCACTCCTCGTATGACAAGGATTGTTTGGGGCCTTGGACGGAGGTAGGAGGGGAGATGTAGGGGCAGGTGTAGCCTTCTGCTTCTTCCTCTCCCATAGGCCCAACCAGTACTCCTACGCCAATACTTTCATTCATTTGGCGGAACTGGTCCTCACCCTCAACAATTTTTCCTTTGGTTTGTAGGAAGTGGGAGGAATCAAAGGGGTGGCCGTAGGCACCCACATGGGCCTGAGCTATGCCTGCCTCTTTGTAAGATTCATGGAACAGTCCCTCTTCCACAACTACACTAGCACCATCCCTCGCCTCTTTCTTTGCTATATTGAAGGCTATCGGTGCTGCTTCGTGCTCTGTAAGGAGCTCGAACAGTTCATCAACTTTGCCAACACCTTCCACCAAAACCTCAAAATCATCTGGACCATTTCTGACACCTCCCTCCTCTTCATGGACTTCTCCGTCTCCATCTCCAGTAATCGACTCACCACTGACATCCATTTCAAACCCACTGACTCACACAGTTACCTCGACTATATCTCCTTTCACCCATCCTCTCACAATCCCTCCATCTCCGCTGCATCTGCTCCCAGGATGAGGCATTCTACTCTAGGACTTCCCAGATATCCACCTACTTTAGGGACTGTAGTTTCCCCTCCTCTGTTTTTAAGAATTCCCTCAACTGCATCTCCCCCATTTCATGCATTTCTGCCTTCAAGCCCTCTCCTGTCAACAACAATAAGGATAGAGTCCCCATAGTCCTCACAAAGTACCCTACCAACCTCCAGATACAACGCATCATTCTCCGATATTTCTGCCACCTACAATCAGACCCCACTACCAAAAAGATATTCCTCTTCCCACCCCTGTCCACTTTCGACTGGGACCTTTCACTCCACGACTCCCTCGTTAGCTCCACACTCCCCACCAACCCCTCCACCACACCTGGTACATTTCCTTGCAGCTGCAGGAGGTGCTACACCTCCCCTCTCACCTCCGCCCAAGGCCCCAAACAATCCTTCCAAATCCGGCAGTTCATCTAACTTTATCTACTTATCCATTGTTCCCAATGTGGTCTCTTGTATATCGGGGAGACCAAATGCAGACTCGGGGACCAGTTTGCAGAGCACCCGCACTCTGCACACACCAACCAAGCCAACCTTCCAGTTGCCATCCACTTTAACTCCCTGCAACCCTCCACAACTCCCCTGGTGACATATCCATCCTTGGCCTCCTCCACTATCAGAGTGAGGCCAAATGTCAACTGGAGGAACAATACTTGATATTTCACCTTGGAAGCTTACAGCCCATCGGCCTGAATATTGACTTCACCAGCTTCAAAATCTCTCCACTCCCAACCTGACTCAACTATTCTCTCTACCCTTCCCAGTGACCAACCACAATAACGACCTACCTGTATCCACCGATCTCCATCTGTCCTACCCTCCTGCCCCTCCCTCTAATTATTTCTGGGCACCTGTCCCCCACCCCAGTCCTGACAAAGGTTTTCAGCCCAGATTGTTCACTTCCCTGCTCCTCGGATGCTGTCTGACCTGCTGTTCTTTTCCAGCTCCATGTTTATTCACACAACTGCAGTGACATGTTTCCCACTATATTTGAAGACAACATACCATCCTCAAGCCCCACAATGCCCTATCTGCTGATCTATTCCTGTAATAAATCCCCTATCATGACTGCTGTTTCTTCCTCCTCCTCCTCTTGTACAGCCAAACTGCTCCTTGTGCTATTAGCTTGGTCCTCACTTGCACACGTCTCCGGAACCAATGCCTTCACCAGTACCCAAATGGAATATTGATTTGCGAGCAGAAGCTCGGGACACCTGGACTGTTTGCCCGGTTCTCTTGGACTGCCTTGCAGTCATCCATTTGCTTTCTGTCTCCATGCTTAGCTTGCGTGTGACCAACTCTGAACATGCTATCTAAGAAGATATCAGCCTCTCAGATTGCCACAGTAACTCCAGAACACTTGAGTTCCAAAACCCAGAGCTCACATTTCTACAGCTGCACATTGGTTGTCTAGGTGAACAGTAGAGTCAACGACTTCCTACATATAAATTCCATGCAGCCAAGCTGCACTATGTCTCCTTAACTTCACTTCTTTTAGCTTTGTTTTATTGTATTTTGATTTACAGTTGTTATATTGACTATTGACGCACCTTTCTAGTACTGAAAAATCTGACTAATACTTAACGTTCTTGGTGTAATAAACCTTACCTAAGGCACCTCTTTTCCCTATGCAATGCATTGTATGTAATTCCCAACTCTCAAATTCCCTACTTGCTTGATCTGTGTCTCACTTGGGCATAATCTTCTGACTGTGCAACGCTTACTGACTTATAAACTAGGTTTTTGTTCCCTTGAGTGTAGAAGATTAAGGGTGAATATCTGAGGTGTTTAAGGTAATTGAAGACTTTGGTAGGGTTGATAGAAGGAAACATAGAATAAAGAGATTAACCGTAAACTTAGAGCTAGACCTTTAAAGGGTGATGTCAGAAAGCACTTCTTCATGTAAAGTTTGGTGAAAATGGAAACCACTCCGGAAAAGCTATTGAGCTTCGGTCAATTGGAAGAATTGAATCTGGAATGGATTGCTGTTAGGTAAGGGTAGGTGGAGCTGAGACATAGATCAGTCACATAGAACAATCCAAAAAGGCTGAATAATTTGCTCCTGTGTCTGTATTCCAAACTGGCATAATAAGTAGCCTGCAGAACAGAGATAACGTATTTGCTATTGCCAGAACTAAATTTTATTAAATTGTTAATTAACTCCGTTATTCTTTTTCTGCCAAAAGTTGAGTTTTTTGTCAATTCTGAAAAAAGGCCAATTTTGAAAGCAGCATTATGTTTGGTTATGCATGTTATGTACTGCTAACAGAGTAAAGTTCATTTCTCATGAGTATATACAATTAAAAGATGCGCGGTTCTTTCCAGTATGTGAAAATGGCTGGCGCTGCTGTCTAATTAACAGGGACAAGAAGATACCCACTGACTACATTCGGAATGGTTTTCTCTATGTAACAGAAAAGTAAGTAATTTGAGTTCTCTATAGAGACTGCATTGTGTGTAACAAGGAATAAGTTCAATGTTGGTACAATTCAACTATTAAAACGCATTTAGCAATCTTAGGACATTCCAAACTGCTTTATTATGAATTATGTACACTTTTTCAAAGTCTGAACCCTGCTTATGATGTAGGAAATGCAGCAGCCAATTTCTACATACCAAAATTTCATAAACAACAATGTGACAATGATCAGATAACTTGTTTTGTAATGTTGATTAAGGATCAGTATTGACCAGACATTCTAGAGGAACCTCTCACCCTCTTCCAAACAGAGGAATCTTTTGTGCCGTTTTGAAAGGGTGAACAGGGCCTTCGCTTGATGTCACATCTAAAAGTCGATGCTTATGACAGTGCTGTTAATATCTGTCAGTGCTGTCCATATCTGTCAGTAAAGACAATATCTGTGTAAGATACTAACCAGCATGTTGCTATCATTCAGCAACAAAAATTAAAAAAAAAAAAAAAATTCCTGGCTATATTCCATGTTGAAGTTAGGCTCTCCAATTAAACACTTAAATGAGTGATTTTCCCATTAATTTTTAAATGGGATTTTCTGCTTCCTGCTTTTTTTTTCCATTGTTTACATCCAGCCACAATGTCTGTTGTCTTGCGCAAGGGTAATAACACATTTGAGTTTCTTGAAAGAGCCGCACATAATTGATCTTGAATCCGGGCACAAAATATTTTTTCTTTTCATCACAAAGCTGGAATATTATAATCAGGCAAATATCTTTTTTACTGCACCTTAGATCTGAAACACAGATTTAAATCTAATGATTCACACTGTGTTCATTACAGTAGCATCTACTGCGTTCTTCTTCACAGAGCCACTCCAGAACACCCGTACCTTAAGCTAAAGAAACCATATCTTTTTAGAACTAATTCTTTACCTCAGTGCCTTCAAGTTTTTCTAGCTCCTAGTTATGAGTGTTCTTTTGTTGGCAGGTTTGAAACTGTTCTTTCTAACCTTCTTCTCTCCAGTTCCATGTTATGGACTCTCTTTCTGTCCAGCCTCCCTCATTATCCCATCCCCTTGCATCCTCCATCCCTTTCCCACCCCACCCGCTTCAACCTCTACTTGCTGTCTCACCTTCTCTTGCAACCCCTATCTTCCCTCAGTCTCCTTGCATTCTCCTCCCATCCAGCTGATCACAAGCCAGAGGACTGTTGAGGCAAAAAGGCAGCTCCCAATGCTCCCTCGCATCATTAACCTAAAGGCTTCTTCAGGCCTGACTCCCACTCCTGCCTTGGCAAAATGCCAGCTATCTCTCAGCTCCAGCCTTCCACCTTCCTGCTCTTTGACCCTGGCTGCTGTATTCCAGAATCTTGCTGTTATGGTGACTCCCCCATTGTTGGCACTATTTTGAGTCAGATTCCTGGGACTTCCAATTTACAACATCGTGGATGTACCTCCACCAAATGAATTGCAAAAGCAGCGCATCACCACTCCTCAAGGGCAACTAGGACAGGTAACGAATGCTGGCCCAGCTAGCAATGCCCACATCCCATGAGTGAATTTAAAAGGAAACTTCCTTATCTGACTGCTCAAAATTCCTCAAGTTCACTGCTCACAGGTTGTTCCTCTCCTATATCTGTGGCTAAGAGGTGTAATAAGTAATAAACATGGGATATATCCAACCTGTGACAGGGTTAGGGTTAGGGTTAGGCTCCTCATCGTTTTTTTTTCCATTCAATTTACATGATTGACTGACTGCCCCATGAGTGAATTTTCCCCAGTGACTTGGGGATATCAGGGGAAGATTAGCCCATTGACCCTGCATATTTTGTGTATTGTCTTGAATTATTCTACCTATGATGCACAAGTAGTCCTGATTCAGAACTAGATGATACTATTTACACATTCAATGCACTAATGAGGCTATCAAAAATTCAAAATGAGTAAGACAACTGATTTTAGAACCATATTTTCCCTAGTGCATTCAACTGTATGTTGACTTGTTGAAAGAATAAATCTGCAGTCAAACTTTGTTAGATTATTCCATGGTCTAACAAAAACTGACAGGTTTGTATTCTATTAATTAGCATTTTAAAACAGCATATATTTATTCAAGAGTATCAGTATATAAGAAAATTAATTTCCAGAAGTGAAACCAAAGTTCTAGTATGTGATACTTGGCTAGCAGCTAAATTTTTGAGTTCATTTTTTGTTTGCATTTAATAACATTATTTCAATATATTAATGTCCTTCTGAAATATGTTTCAGATTCCTCTCAATCACAGCAAATCATAAGTCGAGCAATTAGATTTGGAGGCCGAGTAAAATCGAGTTTAACTCGAAGAGAGATTGCAATAGCTGTTTGTCAATCAGAATTTTATTATCCTTATCCATAATTCAGCACTTCAGGAATAAAACCTCTTTTAAATTCTTAGCAAAATATTTATAGTATAGTCTGGTACTATGACATGAATAAATTCCATACTTAAAATTGTGTTCGCATAATATTTAGGAGAAGAAGTTTACATGAAAGGATAATTATTATCAGGACATAGTTTTGAAGAAATTTTCCATGCAAATCTGTCTTCTATCTTTTTTCAATGTTGGCTGGACTTGTTAAAATAATAAAATATTTAAATGGACTGGAGAAGCCTGGATTTATTCATTGAAGATTTGTACTGTTTCACTATAGCCCATTTGTTAAGTGTTATTTACCAATCGATGTGTTGAGTTTTAATAAGCATTTAGCTGGATATGTAACTTGCCTAGTTACTGTGAAGTGGTGTTTTCTGTCACCTGCTGGTGAGCACTGCAGTTGAGCACTTAATAATGTTTTGCATTTTAAACAGACAAAAGTCCATGATGTTGTATTAGTCCTGTATTAAATGCAGAAACTGAGAATGCTGACAAAGCTCATCAGATCAAACAGCATCTGCAAATAAAGTAGACAGGTTTGAATAGGATTATTTGACACATTAATTTGTGTAAACATATTAGCTAGCAGGAGTCTAACCTTTCCATGTTAGCTATCTGTGCTGGTGACCACTTGTTGAATTCTGTTTCTCTAAGTTTCCAACATCTGGAGGAGTTAGCGTTTTGTTTGTCTTGTCCCAGATTTTGTATTGAACTTCACAGTGAGGCTAATAGCACTTATCATTGTTGTGAAATAAACTTGGCAACAACTTCCAGAATGAAGATATGAGCAATGAAATGTGGAAATCAGCGGTTGCGCTATTAGTAACCCTGTTACTTCACAGCCTGAACATTCCTGGAGTAGGGCATTATGAAGGTGGAGAAAGGTTGGAAATTAGAACAAAGTTAATTAAGTTTTCCATTCTGGGACACAGGCAAGAAGCCACACTCGTACAGTTATCAGTGTAGCAGAGAAAGAGATGAGGGAGGGGACGCAAGTCGGACTGGATAAAGACTTATCCTATGAAAGTTGTGAACAGTACCTCCCTGAAACAAATGTATAGATACAGTACACCTTGCTAGTTAGTCACCATAGCAGAAATATTTAGGGCTGATGCTTTCAGGAGTGAATGAACCTAATGCCATGGTAAGTCATAATTACTGTCAAACAACCTCTCTGATCCATAAACGTGAATTTCCGTAAGTTTGGAGTTGCATTCCTTCATAATTAATCAGCGATTTTAAAGAGCAAAATATATTAACTTTTAGATTTTCTATTTTGTTTTATCTTGCTTTGTAATTCCTGGTTTGGAGCCTGTATGTCTCAGTGGGGACTCTTTGATCTCATCAGTTGAAGAGCCATGCTGTTGTTTGTCCTGCTTACTCTCAGAATAAATCCCTTGTAGAGGGCTGAATGTCTTGCCTCTTATCAATCCAAGCTTGAATGCTGTTTTATTTCTGCCAGTATGTTGGAGGGAATGACATTTATGAAGCAGCTGAAGATGGTTGGGCCTAGTTCGCCACACCAAGGAATTCCTGCATCGATATGTTGAGGTTGAGATGATGTACATTTAACAACCACAACAATCTTCCTTTGTGATTTCAGCCAATGGAGAATTTCCCCCCCGATTCACATTGACTTCAATTTTGCCACAGCTCCTTGATACCACACTCCATCAAATACTGCATTGATATCAGGGGAAGGCACAGTCACCTGACTTCTGGAATTCAGCTCTTTTGTCCATGTTTAGAACAAGAAGAGAAAGACTCTTTAGGAAATGATTAATTTGATATTCCATGATGGGGTCCTGGTCCATGGTATGAAAGGTAGAAAGAAGCATCATAGAGTTGACATTTGGCCTCCACGCTCAATTTTCAAAACAAAAGCAGTGATATTCTTTATTGTTTCAAGCCAGTGTTACACTTGGGCCTGAGGAAGCACAGTGCTGCATGTTCAGAGAGGTGTAGTGAAGAATAGAGTAAAATAGCAATTTATTTTCACTCGTATTTAGGAAGATTGAGTGAAAAGTGTTTAAGTCACCATACTTGAGTGTCATTTTAATTACAGAAAATATAAAAAAGAAATATTTCAGACAAAGTTCATCTTTTGTTCCCTTCACGCCTCCTGGCTTTCTGAACTGAATGTGGGACGCTGCCGTTGAAGCCATTGCTGAGGCTGCTATAGCAAGGAGGAACAGACTGGACCCACAATGCTGAAGCCGCTGCAGCAGCCCCTTTGCTGCTGCTGCAAGGATTCTGAGGCTGGACTCACCATGTCACCATTGCCAAAGCCACCACGTCACCGCCATAGCCAGGCGGAATGGATCGCCATCAAGTTGCTGACGCTGAAGCTGCAACCGACATGGCCACGAGGAATAGACCAGAACCAGCACGCTGCTGTCACAGCTTCTCGCAACTGCTTTTGTGCAGCATAGCCGCAGAAAGAAGACAAGACGAAGTTTGATATGAAAGATAAATGAAGAAAGAAAATAAAATGAAAGAAGGATGCGGTAGGCCTGGTGATTGGGAGCAGATGGGCTCAGAAGCCTGAACGTTCCCTATCTGCCGCCGCTGCCATCTTTAATTCTTGAATATGTGAACAGAGTAGGAAAACTCTGACATCACATCACAATTACAATGAAAAAATCTAGAGAGGGTAAGTGGCCCAAGGGAGCGTCCCTGGTGTGGCTCAAAGAATCTACTGTGTGCATGGGAGGTAGGGAGTAGTGAATTGGGGAAGAAATGGGTCCAAATAAAGGTGGCAAAATAAGAGCTCAACATCACGTCAAGTTCAAAGTTCACTGAGGTGGGTGTGCAAGTGAATGAAGCTGAGGCCTTTGGGCATTGATCATTAGGTATCAAAGGGAGCAAGATCAGAGCAGATAGTGAAAACACAGCAACATATGAGAATGGAGACAGGAATGTCATCAAATGAAGTTTGATGAAGAAATGCTGGGACATAGAAAGACAATCTTTGGAATTCAAATGCATGTCAACTATTCGTTGAAAACAAAACTAATGAGAGAAATCTTGGATTAGTAAAAGAGAAGAACAGTGATGCAACTGGCTGAAAATTGCATGCTGTTCCAGTTGTTGTCACTACAATAAGACTGTTTACAAGAGTTATTCAATGTTTGCATTAACATTAGTTTTTTTTGCTGTGGGCTGTAGCCTAATCAGATTTTCGCAAATCAATCTAGATTCAACTGACGTGAGGATTTCTGTTAAGCAAAAAGTAAAATTTATCAACAATTGATAAGGTTACCTTTTCAGAACCAATAATAGACCATAAAGGAGAAAAGCTAATGAATTTTAATGCTTTAAAATTTTACTTCTGTGATCCCATTTATAATTTCTCCATTTACGCTTAGGCTTGTCATCAAACATTCATTTTCTTATTATATTTTCAGTTAAATATGAAACAAACCAGATACAACTGAAGACCCTGAATGATACTCTGATTAGTTATCTTACAAATATAGAATGATAAATGTCAAACGCTATAGTTAATTTCCAATGAAAGGTCACAGATCTGAAAAATTAATGTTGTTTGTCCGTCTTCACGGGTGCTGAGTCTCCATTGTTTTCAGTTCTTAATTCTGATTTCCAGCATCCACAGTATTTTGCTTTTGTATACATTTTTTTTATCTTTCCCTTCCTCCAGTTATTTATGCTTTGAAAGCTCCAAATCTGGTTCATCCAAGAAAAATAAGATCATAAAACTAAAAGAAATTACAGATATTCAAAAGGTAAGTTTCTGGCCTCTGAGCTTTTTTACTTTTTCATATTCAGCTATGGCGTTTGAACGTGATGCCAAGGATGTTGTTTGTCGCCCATGCTTTTGAGAAGTTGGTGGTAAGCTGCTTCTTAAAATGCCTGAGTTATGTTTTAGCTTGTTTTTGTTTTTGTAGTTTTGTCTTTAATATTTTTGGTTTGAGTTTTGAAAGTTGCAAACAACTTGTTAAGAATTGCATGTAATTCACATAGTAATGTGCCTTGACATTTTATGTTGAAGTTTATATCGTGCTTTTAGCACATTTTTATACTCCCCTGAACACAAATATGAAGCCACTGCGTTTAAGCACTCTGGAATTACATGGAACAAAGTGGCAGGATAGCTAAGCTTTTTTTTAATAACTTTGAATGGTTACATAGGCATAAGCACACCAATATGGATATGCAGATGATAAATATGTATTTATGATTATTCTGAAGTGTGGGTGTATAATATACACGTATATCAACATTCCCAACAGTAACTTGAGTTCTAAATGAACAAGGAAATTCAGTCCCTAGTGGCCATAAATCGACTACACAATTACCATAAATTCAGCTTTAATTTAGCAAGGCCTTATGAGATGCTGTGCATAAAAGTGGGAATATCTTGATTTGATAGTTGAAGGGCTGGATTTCTCTGTGTTTATCAGCTTATCTTCTATCAGTACATTAAACTTGTTCTGCCTAAATAATGTCACTAGGTTCAATATAGATTGATACAGTTTCCTGAATTGAGATTATTTATCATGACCATAGAAACTGGGTGTATATAAGATAAATCCAAGCTGATAGTATCTTTAAATACCTTTTAATGTGGGAGAAAAAAAAAATCAGAGTTGCTTCATGAAGGTTACGTGCAGTCAAATATTTTAAAACATAGTAGTATTTGAAAGCATTCTTAAATTTTCAGGAAATGTGCTTTTGATGACATCAGATAATGGTTTTGATTAATTTAATTAACATTGATTAATTACTTAAGTTCATCTTTTAGTATTTTGTCTTAACTTTGAAATGTGCTGATCTTTCTATCCAAAATCTTATTGTGTGCATTTTCATTGCATCAACATTCAAATAAGTGCTTTGCATCATGAAGTGTTGAGTGATCTGGCAAGGAGGCTTTATGTGGAATCAAGCAGCTTTACTATAAGTCCAAAAATTATGTTGCTAGTCTATAATATCAGCTTGGATTTATGCAGCACCTTTTAAAAGAAAGCATGTTTGTTTAGAAAGATGTCAAAAGTTTAAAGTGTCTCAACAATAGTAAAATATTCTTACATGTTCCAAAAAAAATGTGCTTTGGTAATGGGCTAATAGTTTTATTCCATTTTGACTCTGTTTTGCAGAGTCTATTTCTTCAAAAGTATGAATTTTCCTGATGATATGTTTTGCTGAAATCTAGTGGAACATAATCATTTAGAGGATTTTGTATAATTTAACTTTAGTCATTATATAATAAAAAAAAATTGAAAATGTTCAAAAATATAATATAAATGTGAACATAAAAGAGCCCAACAATTATCTTGAATATTGTTATGAAATCATATGTCACTGAATTTTAAAGGCAGTAGCTACATTTTAAAGGATCAAGTGGAATAATCTAAGTGTAAACAAAAATTCTGGAAATACTTAAACAGTCAGGCAGCATCTGTGGATAGAGGAATGGAGTTAACATTTTTGGCCAGTTATTCAACAGAATAGCTTAATTGGTGAACTACATATTTTCCCAAGTGCCACTGGAGTGTATGTGTTTTTCTCATGATTAACTTCAAGTGGCATTTTAAAAAAAAAATCAACTTGAATATTGCAAATCTTTAATTGTCACACTAGTTTGCTATTCTTATTTATTTGGATCGTAGCCAAAGATGTTAATCTCAACTCAAAATACTAACCATTGCCATTATGAATTATTTTTAACTCATCATTTTCTCTGCCCTTTTTGCTCCAACAGTACAAAGTTTTGTCAGTTTTGCCAGGATCAGGAATGGGCATTTCAATAACTACTCCGTATACGCAAAAGGTAAGCCATTTCTTTCTTTGAGGTTTATGTGCGGACGCACAAATTAGATACAGAAGCCAGTCATTTGATCCCTCAAACCTGCTTTGCCATTCAACAAGATCATGTCTGATCTGTTTGTGCTTTAAATTTCACTTTATCTACCACTGAGAACCTCTGATACCATTGCCTAATATGAATCTGACTACTTCTGACTTAAAAATATTCAGTGACTCTGCCTCAATCACCTCCTGAGGTAGAGACGTCCAAAGTTGCACAACTGAGAGAAAAGAATTTCTCATCTGTCCTAACTTTTAAACAATGGCACCCAGCTCTGGATACACCCTCAAGAGGAAACATCCTTTTGATTTCCAACTTGTCAAGACTGATCAGGATCTTGCTTGCTTAAATCACCCTTCACACTTCTAAACTCCTGTGGAAGCAAGCCCAGTATGTTCAACTATCCTCAAACAACCCACTCATCCCATGTTTCAATCCAGTAAGCCTTCTTTGAGTTTAATTTTGCAAGGCCACAAAGGATCTCAGCCACACAGCAAAATTAAGGCTGTACTAAGGTAAAGTACTCACTTGCACAGAGTAATAACATGAGTTATGTCTCCTGTACAATGATACATGAGAAATACGGTGCGACATCTGATCTTATACAGAGAATTCTTGCTTTTCATTGTGAAACTCAATAATGCGTATATAATTGTGTTACATTGAAAGGAAAGACGTTTACACTCACTTAGATTGTGCTGGAATTTCCTTGAATTCCAATAAACTATTTTTCTGTCTTTTAGCCACTCGTATTCGGTGCTATGTTACACCGGGATGAAGCCTTTGAAGCAATAAATTGTCAACATACTAAAATAACATCCAGTGTATCCAGTAATGAAACTTAACCAAGTTCTTACAATAATCAGAAGTCATGTGTATAATAATATGGAAATGAACAGTTGGACAAGAACCTCCATTACTTGTTTGATATTTGTGATGGATTTTGTACAAAATTGGAGTAGATGGTTTGTAATCTGTATATTTTTAACTTGCTGTTTAGTTCTTTTACATTTTTGTCAGAGTTCTCCACAAAAGTGCTATTACTTTCAAAGTAATCCCTGCACAGTGAGCACTTTTGGCATTTGTTTACAGACATTTTAAATGGTAGTCTAAATTGGGGTATGGAAGAATTGAGAGTGGTTCTTAGAATAAAGTAAGACAAAATTTCGAGTCAAAGATTTGCAAAATCTGATTGCCAAGATTGTATACTTTTCGGTGTCCATTTCAGATGGCGAGAGTATTAGTTGAGATAATTCTCCTGGCAGAAGAGGCTAGTAAACTAAGTGAAGTGAATATGTTGCACCTTAAACCTGAGGACTGGACATCATGGATATTAAGCAATTGACATTAATACATTATGAAGTGATTCATTAAACATTAGCATGAAAGGATCAGAGTATAATGTAGCCACGTCTACAAATATCACAACGTCAATAATCTCACCCATTTGTTCCATGAAAATAAAATATAATTACTAAAAGTTTTTTAAAATTATTTTTGCTGCATGTTAACTACCTATTCAATTTACTTTCTCTGGTTTTAAGATCCATATATAGCCCTTCCATTGGCATTGATAAGATTTTGCAATATAAATATGTGGAAAAATTAGAGCTTTGCACAGTTCTTCCCCCTGATTTAAATGTTGCATTTATATTCTAAAATGCTTAAAAGTGTTTTACTTTTCTTCCTGCTAACTCCCTCCAAAAAGGCTAGATTTTGGCAAGACGTTTTAGATGTTCCAGATTTTGAAATTAAAAAATTTGATGGGTTTATCTCACTTCATCTTGTTTTGTTTTCTAAGTAAAAGCCTGATTTTGTCCATATTCACTGCATTAGTAACATTTTCCTGCATCTTTGTTTTAAGTTGCACCATCATCAGATCTATTTCCAAGGCTTTATGAGCAGCAATTAACTTGTTAACATGAAAGTGGTATCAAGTGACACCTTCCAATATTCCTTTTCTCCCTATGTGGTAAAACCCGTCCTTGTTCAGTGTCTTTTCCCTAGAGAGCCAATTTTGAGACATCTTATACATTAGCCAATGCCCTGCCTCTCAGTACTATGGTTCAAAAGATACAATGGCTCAGAGAATTTCTAGAAAGCAGTTCCTTTCTCCTTCATTTTTTGCTGCTGTCAATGTTCAGCATGGTGTCTAAATGCACTGAACTCTAAATTTCCTCAAGCACCTCCAATCCTAGATATTATAATAGCAAAGATGGCAGGTGTTTGCATGTCCCATACCTTTCTGACATTTAAAAAAAAAAGTCCTGTGATTTCACCAGTGGTAGCAGCAGCTACTCTCTGCCATTGCCTTCTCCAAATCAAAATTCTTCGTTTTGTACTCCAAGTCCAGTCTGAATGCAAAATGTGACGTGACTGACAAACTTGCAAAGGACCTTCACTGATCTCAAAGCTGCCAATTACCAACTCCTAAAATGTTCTGATTCATTTTATTTGTCCAATTTCTAATAAAGTTTATACTGTACATGAAGATACGTGATCATGCTGAATAATTTTGATTAATATAGTTCATACAATATATACCGATTTCTTTGATTTATTCAAGGTGTAATTTGTTACAACTTCTGGTTTAACATTGTTGAGACAGCAAAAACTGGAATACAAATAATACGTTTGTGATGTATAGTTTCTTGAAGTGCGTACATTTGCCAAGTTCTCTGCACCTTTAGTTTACTGTTAAAGAGGGTATGTTTACTGAGGGCTAATTTTCCAGCTTCTGTATAGAAGTGCATTTGCTGGTGGATCCCTTAAAGGACACAAATTAGCAACAATTTTAAGTTTAAAATAATGTAAACACTTTGTAAAAAAAATCAACAGGTAGTTTTTAAACTAAGGCAATTTATTTTCTTAATATCCCTGTCATAAAAATGCAGTTGCCATACTTGATAAGCATTAGATATATTGACTGTCTACATATTGAAAGTTGTGCATAATTGTTTTTGGTATCATGTAAAACTTTTGGTGTAAAGAAAGCAGAAAATATTAATAGATCCAGGAAATGTAACTTAAGCCTATAAAATTTGCAAGCTTCGCATCATGTTTATTGTAAAAAGAAAACAAAGTCTTGTAAAAAGTCACAGATTTTTATTTGCAATAAATGGTTCTGTAAAAAAAAAAGCAACTTTTTATTATGGTTCTATAATGTACACTACCATCTGCATTTCAGCTTCAAACTGTTTTGCTATTGAGTGCCTATCCATTTTAAGAACCATCAATAGTATATGCCTGAGTATTATTGAAAGTCTTTTATTCATTAAATTTGTTTTGTGATTAAACTTTCACATTCAAATTGAAATTGCAGTTGTCCCATAGATACTGATGAATAGTGAAATAATTTTGGGACCCTGCTGCTTCAGCAAATTTCTGACATTGTGTATGCATTTTCTGAAGTCTTTCTCCTTCCCCTACTTCTACTTCCATTTATGCTGAACTACAGGATCAGTTGCCAGCTTGATACTCTTTGGAACTGACACATGAGCAGTTATCCAGGGTGGACTTAGCCCCAGCCTGTGAATCGTAAGAGGGACAGAAAGAATAGTTGTGGCAATGCAACTGCAATCCTGGAGGCAAAACCACTGAACCAGTGATTGCTTGTTTTAACTGTTTCAAAGCTGCTTTGTTCATTTCCTTGGCGTACAGTGCCTTGTCGCTAAATAGATTTAGTTCACAGAGTACTTTGCCACCCCTGAAAAAGCTATAATACATGCCAAGTTTGCAGCCACATTGGCTGATTAAATTGAAATTATGCATATCCCGTGCACAACACTAGAAATGCTCCCATTACACTCTGTATCTGCATATATGGGTGACTTCTGTTGCAGAATGCTTGGATGCATTCTGGCTTAGGGATGTCTGTTGCCAGTAACTGATGTCACCAGGCCTGTTTGCACACGGTATGATTTTTTAGAATGTAAAACAATACAGCATAGAAACAGGCCCTTCAGCCCACCATGTCTGCACTACTGTGATGCCAGTCTAAATAAATCCCATCTGCCTGCACATGGTCTGTATCCCTCTAATCCGTTGGTGATTATTTTTGCGATTGGAATATCTACTCTGATAATATTATTTTGCAGTGGATAGTTCTAATTCGTGTTTTCAAAATTGAATACTGTGACTTGGGTATTAACACAATCTGTTCCATCAAGGATATTGAAATAACAGGATGAATTTGGAAGGCATAAATAAGTCATAGTAGATACTAAACATGTCCAGATATGGCACAGAAAAAAGCTGGAACATGTACTAACATGTACAACTAGTTCAAAACAATAATCAACAACAGCTCGAGAATATCATCTACAAAGTAAAAATGGTTAAATTTAGATCAGAGAAAGTCATGATTATGGTCTGCAATTCTCTGGTTATTCCCCATCTTGTGTTCCATTTCTGCATCTCATCACTAACTCAGTCAGACACTGGTAACCATGGACAGAAGGACCACAATGTTGCTTCCTGATATCATATTTGGAATTGTGAAAAAGACTGAGTAGAATCCGATCTAGAAATAGAAAGCGCAGGAAATCTTCATAAATGCTATGACAATGTGTTAAACATAGAAACCAATGGCATACTCCAGGTGTGGTCTCACCAAGGCTGGGTACAATTGCAGTAAGACATCCCTCCTCCTGTACCAGAATCCTCTCACTATCAAGGCCAACATACCATTTACCTTCTTCAACCCCTGCGGCATCTGCCTGCTTATCTTTAGCAAATGATGTACCAGGCAACCAGGTCTCGGTTGCAATTCCTCTTTTTCCCAATCTATTCCCATTCAGACAATAATCTGCCTTCCTACTTTTGCGACCAAATGGATAACATCACATTTTAGCCACATTACACTTTATCTGTCATATATTTGGCCACTCACTTGTTCAAATCACAATGATTTGCAATCACCTCACATTTCAGCCTCTCCCTCAGATTTCAGTCATCTGCAAACTTGGATATATTACATTTAGTTCCCTCATTTGAATTATTAACATATATTGTGAATAGCTGGGGTCCAAACGCTGACCCCATGAGTCACTGCCTGCCACTTGGAAAATTACAGGTTTATTCCTACTCTTTGCTTCCTGTCTGTCAACCAGTTCTCTATGTAAGTGCAATGCTCCAATCCCATGCACTTTTGCTTTACATGCTAATTTCTTATGTGGAGCCTAAATGTAAATCTTCTGAAAGTCCAAATACACCGCATTCGCTGGTTCACACTCCTTATCAACTCTACTCGTTACATCCCCAAAAAATTCTGACAGTTTGGTCAAGCATGATTTCCCTTTTGTAAAGGCATGCTGACTCTGTTCAGTCTATCACTGTTTTCTAAGTGCTTTACTATTAAAATTTTTATATTGGCCCCTAGTATTTTCCCTGACACTGATGTAAGCCTAACTGGTGTCTCTACTTTTTTTTTAAGGTTACATTAGTTACCCTCCAATTCATAGGAACTGTCCCAAAGTCTGTAAAATCTTGAAAAATGACCACCAATCATCCACTATTTCTAGGGCTACTTCCTTAAGTACTCTGGGAAAAAGATTGTTGGGCCTTGGGGATTTATCGGCCTTTAATCCCAAAAAATTCCCAACACTTTTTCCTTAATGATACTGATTTCCTTCAATTCCTCTATTGTCCAGATTCAACCAAGAGTTGCTTGGGTATCCTGTTATGGCAGTATTGAAATAACATGTCAATTCAGTAAAGCCACAGTGAACAGAAACAAAAGATGGAAGTTACTTGGAAACTAATAACCCAAATGTTTTATGGCATGTGGCAGTCAGCAAACTGAATAAGATTATTAAAGGATATGCCTAGCTGTGCCATACAAATGCGACTTGCACGAGCTTGTGGAATCTGTACATAATTAATTTGAATGTTTCTTTTTTGAAGTGTGTTCTATAATTTAGCCACATTACCTGTGCATTTGTAATATCTGGAGACTTATATCATTTTCACGGTAATACAGAGTAATAAAATAATTTAATGTTGCAAAACTGCTGCCAGCCTTATTTTCATTTATATTCTTTCATTAAAATTCAATACTTATGAATGCACTATACATCATTTCATATAGATAAAATTCTCAATTCAAGCTGTATGGCTATCTAAAAAATAATAAAGGATGTGAGTTTGCAAAAATTGGTCATTTTGATGACTGACTGCAACTGCAATGCAATGCACCACAAGTTACTCATTGTGCAATAGACACTGCCGGTTTCTGTTACTGTTGTAAAAGGAGAAATCAAGACAATGAATTAGTGTCTGAATACAATTAAATGGAGCAATTTAGACAAACAGGAGGCTGGAAGAACTCAACAGGCCAGGCAGCATCTGGAGAAAAGGAGCAGTCAATGTTTTGGGTATTACTCTTCTTCAGGACTGGATGTGGGGGTAGGGGGAAGGGCAGGGGTGGAGGTGGAATGGTGGTGATAGGTGGACATTGGTGGTAGGTATGACCTGGTTGTTTGATGGGAGGGATGAATCTGGTTGGTAGCTGAAAGGGAGGGTCAGCAGGTGGAATGGAAGGGAGGAGATCGAGCTGGAAGGGGAGCCAGGGGATGGGTGGCAAGTTTATTTGAAATTGGGGAACTCCATGTTGAGTCCTCCGGACTGTAGGGTGCCCAGGCAGAAGATAAGGTATTGTCCTTTAAATTTGCGTTCCGAGTCACTGCGACACTGGAGGAGGCCAAGGACAGATGTTTTAGAGGGGGAGGAGCGGGACGGGGAGTTGAAATGGGCAGTAACTGGGAGGTTAGGTTGGCCGTTATGGGCCAGGAACAGATGCTCGGTGAAATAGTCACCTAGTCTACATTTGGTCTCACCGACGTAGAGAAGACCACATCGGGAGTAGCAGAGGTAATAGACTAGGTTGGAGGAGATGTGGTTGCAGGTGAAGCTCAGTCTCACTTGGAAGGGCTGTTTAGGGCCTTGAATGGAGGTGAGGGAGGTGGTGTGTGGGCAGGTGTTGCATCTTTTACGGTTACAGGGGAAGATATTGGGTGGGTTGGAGTGGTTGGTGAGGAATGTGGCGTGAACTAAGGAGTGGTGAAGGGCATGGTCCTTGCAGAAGGCAGAGAGGGGTGGGGAGTGGAAGTGTGTCTAAGCTCTGCTCCATTTGGAACTTTCCAGAAATTGTAGTTCACTGGCATCATGTGATTGGTGATAGTGATGGTAAAGTTTTAGTGCGACAAAGTTCACGTTAGAATTTTCACAAGAACGTATAGTTTTTTAAACAACTTATAATGCCTCTTCATGTCTCATGGGCTCGACAAGTTTTAGAACCCTATCTCTCATCTCATGAGACTGTACTCCAGGTTTGTAGTTTTGTTGAATTAAATCATTAAGGTGCTTTTTACTGTCCTTCACAATGTAAAGGACACCATGCTAACTTGCAACCATATTGACATTCCTTGTGGCTGCAACAAAATCCCAGTGAACTGCAACAGTTGGAGAAGGCAGCTCACTACCAACTTCCCTAGGGCAATTAGGGACGGGTTAAAAATATTGGCTTTGCCTCTGATGCTTACTTTCCATAAATGAATAAAAGACAGACAGAGAAGCAACCATTGTAATTCAGAAGTCACACAACACCAGGGTATAGTCCAATAGGTTTATTTGAAATCACAAGCTTTTGGAGGCCTGCTCCTTCGTTGGGTCCACTTCACCTGATGAAGGATCAGCTCTCAAAAGCTTGTGATTTCAAATAAAACTGTTGGACTATAGCCTGGTATCATGTGACTTATGACTTTGTCCACTCCAGTCCAACACTGGCACCTCCACATCATGGCCACCATTGTAGTTTCACACCTGTGGATTCCCTTGACAGAATTGGGCAGAAATATAGAGAAGGCAAAAATAATGTTTTTTTTGCCCCTTGGTTTACTCAGAACATACAAGGCATTCTGGTCTGAGATTTGATATTAGACAAACATGAAATCTAGACAGGTGGCATGAAGGTAAGCCTGGATAACATCAGCACACAGATTGAGCTTGGTCCCATGATTAGATAATGTCATCAAGAGACAGTATATGAAGGTGAGGGGGCCAAAGATGGAACTTTGCAATAGACCAGTCATGAAAATATGAACATAGGAGATATTTTGATCAGTTATCGCATTGTCTTG